ATCTCCACATTTCCAGTTGGTTATTCTTTCTTTAGTTCTTTCTGTCCCTGTTTCGGACTGAGACCCACCCCAAACCAAAGACCAACGGGACGGTGCGTAAGAAGAGGTGCAGCCTCTATCCACAGTTTGGATTGGTAAAAAAAATTGTTATGGCAGAGAGCTGGGGAGAGGTAACAGGTAGAGGAAAGGGAAGAGAAGGAAGGACTGGCAAGCTTTGACTTCTCAGCCCTCTTTAGCTTTTAATCCATACTGGTGTGGGAACAGTGTGCGTGGAGGGAGGGCTGGAGGAGATGAACAAGAAGGTGAAAGTAGAGGCATAGTCACCCTGTATCCTCTACGCAGTGTGTAAATTGAGGCACTGATGCAGCTGAGAAAATTTCATATGTATGTCATATGTTTCATATGTATATGCTGATTTGATTGATGGATTCAGCTGCTATTTTAATAGTAAGAACTGGGATTGGGATGGAAATGGTGGCTAACTCTGAGCTTGGACTGATTTACTGCCCCTCTCTCCAACTCCACCTGTTTGAAATCAAGGGCCTTTTGTGCTAAAACAGGGACGCTCACCAAAAACCACACTTCAAACGTTCACTTTCAACCCATAATCCTTATAAAGGACTATAAATGTGCCTGAAGCAAATAGAGAAATAAAAGAATGAATAAACTCACTCATACTAACCAGCAGTGTTAATAATTGCATTGCTATCATAGAATTGCTTGTAATTACCTGGTTCTTGAAGCTGGTGCAGTGGATTAAGACGCCTGTGTCTGCAGCATCATGTAACCCTTCTGCTCCAGTTCAAATCCTTGAGACCATTACTCACTTACTCCTTCGCTCTTTCTCTAGTCTTGCTACAGTATAGCTATAGATGCTAACTGAAACTAAGCACGACTAACCACACGTCAGTAAAGTTGCTCTTTTATCCTATCAAAGTAAACAGATGTCACTGAGCCAACCACAGCTTGGAATATAACATTTTTCCCTCAATAAACTGAAGCTCACCCCTGATAAGATACCAGAAAATGTTCACGATTAATAACAGCTTCTTAGATTGATAAATGATGTCATGCTATCCTTATGTGACCAGCTTTCTTCACAGTATCTGAGGCTTCATGCCCATGCTGACATCTTTAAAGCCTCTCTCCTCACTCTGGACAAGATAACAGTCAGAGTTCAAAGGTCAATATGAGCACCTTACATATGGGGGCCCCTCCTAATAAAGGCATAAGAACTATTTGAGCTGGAGCTGAGGGCTGAAAATATCTTGTGGTAAGCCACTGAAAGTCTGCTGTTGCCCTTTTGACCTGGCTGCATGTACAGTTCACTGCATCACTACAGCTGGAATTTAAGCCTGTGGGGGGGGGGGGACTCCACATTTGAAAGAGTTTTTAAATGCAAAGATGCTCACAAATAATACAGGAAATATACTAAAACACATAGCTTCAGTTATTGTTGCTGAACTTTGTGAATATGAAGGTGGTCTATACCACATTTGGACAAGTGAGGATGTGTTTGTTCTTGTTTACCCTGTCCTGCACATTGATAGCAGCCTTGTTGAAGTAATCAGATTAGTCAGGTGAGGCTGTGCTAAACTGATCTGCTGCCCACAAGCCTCTTAGCGACATGGCTAACGGCACTGACAGAGATCACTTCAAAGCAAGGTCAGACATAAAGCCAGCCCAGCTGAGCAAAGAACCAGCTTGGCCTACTGCAGAGGCAGCAGCTAACAGCACAATAGTGATAGGAGGACACCAGCACTTCTGACCTGTAATTTGTTCATTATGTTATTCATCTGTAGACAGAACCAACAACCACAGACATGCAAGCAAAACATGTGAAGTTACATGCATTCAGTATTTATAGAGAAATGTGATTTGACTTTGACAATAAAGAGCATTGGGATTTGGTTCACTAAGCATTTATTTCATTTAAATCTAAATCTAAATGCACTCTCTCTACATTCAACTATGACACCTGCCCTCAACAGACATTCCAAGGCTTGGTCACATGACTTGCAAATCTGTTGCGTGATTCGATGATTTATAAGTACATCTGTCTCTTGGAATTCTTTACTTTCTCTGTTGAACCTATTTGTCCAGGTTAATTAATCAAATACTGAGAAAAGGCTGTGGGAGGAGCGATAGAGAAGCTTAGATACTTGCCTCCTCAATGACCCCACTAAATTGATCAGGTGAATTGATTTGGCCGCCTCCCACTGTGACATCACTCAGTCTTTTCTGGATCTCAGGATCAGAGCTGCACAGGAAAGCAAGGAATCCTCCCTGAAAAGCATTTGAGATTATTACATAAAATGCGTGTTAGGTACTAAACCCCCTGTCACTGTTCTCAGACACTGGTGTCAGAGGTTTCCTGAGAACTGTGGCTTCATGCAGTATCAGAAAAATGTAAGCAGCAGATATAGCATATTTTAGCATTATAGCATATTTTTCATCTCAGAAATGCAAGTGCAACTTGAAAAGAAAAATTAAATAGAAGAGAAATAACAGTTTTGAAAGGTTTCAAAAGCTGAAAAAAAATTATTACACATTCACTTATTACATGAATTTAAAATATGCTGTATAGGGATTTTAAAAAACAAATTGACATGGATTTCATACATTATTTTACAAGATAACAACCCGAGACAGTATGATGCACCTTATTAAGATGCACAACCTGACTAGAGAAATAACATTAATGTCATCATATGTCATCACATACATTTACATATAAGTAAATAAAAAAGGACCATCACTTGCCACCCCATTCATGTCTGACCTCTGACAGACTTTATGTCCTTATGGAGGGAGTTACACAGTCCTTGGTCTTTCCCCTTGTTATTCCTCCACTAACACATTGTATCCCCCTCCCTCCACCACAAACTCCATATATGATATATTGCACCAAGTGAACTGTGTTATCCTTTGAACTTTAACTTTAAATAATCTTAAATTGTATTGTCTGTTGTATTCATGTTCACTATTACACTGGTGTGCTCTGGATTTTTTCTTTGACATTTAGATATGGATAAAGGGAAATTTAAAACAACAACAAATTTCACACATGCACAATTAAATGTACACATTAATGAGTGTCCACTGAGCAGCTCTGCCACCACGGATGTGGCTCTCTGTCAAATCTAGGTCAAGCTGTGACCTTTCAGACCCCAGCAGCTCCCCCTGGTGGTTGACGGTAGCCTGCTGAAGTGAATTTGTCAACAAAACCGAGATAAGTGCCAGTTGACAGCATACATTAATCAATCAATTAAACATCCCCATCTCTTTGAGGGTCGGGTGCCCCAGGGTAGTTGCCCAATTTGCCCTGTGAATGACCTAGTCTTGGGAACAATCCCCCTCTGCCTCTCTTGTTTTGTTTAAGAGTCATCAACTACACTAAATATGTGGTGAAAAAGAAAAATCACAGGGTTTGAATCTGAAAGAAAGTAGCCCCATGTAGGAAAGCCATGGTGTAAGTTCAGTGTAAATTTTATCACTTCACCCCAGCTTGACATGGCTCTTATTATTCATTTGAAGTGTCTGTTAGAAACAAGGAATCAGTAGTAGGGGAAATGTCTCAAATGTTATTTTATCCACTCAGTGTTCAAGGTTAAGAAAATAAAAGCCTACAGACGTTAAAATTAAATGAATTTAACTTCAACTTAACAAACCATCTGAGCACAACTCAAAGGTTTATCAAAGCAATACGGACAAATATTTATCTTTTAGATGATAAGCAGCTTTTTCCCATCATGGGACTGCATATATACGTACAACTGGAATTTTTAGACTATCACAAATATTATCACTCATACATTTAATCTGGAGCATTTTCAGGTTTATCCGTGTACAGACGTTGATTTTGCTTGAATTGGTAGGACTGTTTCTGCTGACATTAAAACCTGACAGATTGTTACTGTAGCAAAAACTAATCAGCTGTCAGAAATACTATGTCATGTTCACAGCTACGTTATTGTTTTTATCTCCACTGTAGTTCCTTGAGAAGTCATAGTTTTGTTTTGGGCTTTTGTGATTAGATGGAAGTGTTACCCGCGTAATGAGGTGCAGTTATTTTATACTGGATGTGCTTTCGTGACACCACAAATTTTTGTCAGAAAGTCTGTGCTATGAATTGTTGTCATGGAGCTTGAAAGATGTGGGAATTTATTAGGCAGAAAGGATTTAACTATAAAGTTGCACTATGGGACTCATAGTATCTATAGGGATTAAAGGTTAGGTTATCTCAGTTTCTTTGATTTTCACAATTCTTTTTTTTTTTTTTTTTGGAAGTGATGCATCAAATTGCTTGAGTCTCCCTATAAAATAAATGTCTTTTTTCCCCATACCCAATATGCAACAATATGGGATGAGCACATCCTGCCAATAGAAATAACTTATCTAGTTGTTTCTCGAATTACAAAAACACAACTTTGTAAATCCTGCACACAATGCATTTCAACAGGACAATGTCATTTATGCTTTTTTTGTTTGAGGTTTTCTTTACTTTTTACTGTCATTTCCTTCTTTTTTATTGTTATTTCCAAGCTTGCATGTAACTGCAATTTGATGTTTTAGTTGATAAAAATGTATTAGTAATGTGATATAGCATGCAACCAGAAAAGTATGATTATGCACAAATATTTCAATAGTCAAATTCTGTTTTCAGAGAGTGTTAATGCTTCAAAATGAATAAAGCTCCCAGATGATCCAGATGATCCTCAAGATCACACGTGTGTAGAGGCACTAAGTTCACTTGAGGTGACTCTTTTTGAAAATTATTTTAACAAGAAATTAGGTTTAATTATTCAATAGTTTTTTAATTTTATTTTAATAGTTTAAACAGTTCCTTCAGTTCAGTCTACAGGGAGTTTGCAAGGTGCAGGTGCATTGTGTGTTTCTAGGGGTGTTGCTTGTCTGTCAAGCTCATCCTCGTGCCACACAGTGAGGGGTGGAGCAGTGTGGGAGGAGCACTGTGTAACACAGTACATAAAAACGTTGTCATCCCTTATAATATTAATTAAGGATTCAGCACCAAATTTTGCCCATTGAGCTACATGGGAATCTAGTTCAGTCAGGAGCCCTGCTGCACAATGTCATTCACTGAAGTCCTAACCATCATTGGTGGATTCATGGTTGTTTTCCACCTACTGAAACTGGCCTGGAGATGTTGGTGTGGACTAAGAGAGTTTGTGTTGTCAGAGCTTTGGCAAGAGGATTTAAGGACATATGGACAATGGGCAGGTAAAGTCAATGACAATATATGTAATGTTATATTACAGGTTGCTTTCAGAACAAAACAAAATGTTAACAGTGTCTTTTAGCCTGTGCGTGTGTGTGTGTGTGTGTGTGTGTGTGTGTGTGTGTGTGTATGCGCATGCATGTGTGTGAAACACATACCATTGCCATAGACAATGTAGATCTAATTAAAAACCTGTGGTTAAGTTAATAACCAAGTGCAGGTATATCTGGATTCTCTTTGAACACAAGCTTTCATCTGCGGCAGCAAACACCAGACTCCATCTATGAAGCCTGTTTGATTGGCGACTTGATAAGACATTCACATTCCTTTTTAATGGAACATTTGACTCTCATTGGCAGCAAAGATTTAAAAGCTGTGTGTCAGCTTGTGATCCCTGTATCAAAAGCTCTACAAATGTTTTAAAAGAAATATACATGTTTTGATAAATCTAAAATTAACATTAACATTTCTGTGCTTTCTTCGTTGTGCAGTTGTCACTGGTGCCACATCTGGCATAGGTAAAGCTTATGCCAGTGAGGTGAGTCTCCAGCTTCCATTTACAACAATTCCATTTTTTGAATCAAATGTCAAGTTTGGAGCTGAGGATAGTTGGCTGATATTTGTTAAGTTGTTTTAGATCAAGTGTTTCAGTTTTCACCAGTGTAGAGTTGGTTGTTGGTTAAGAGTGACAAAACCTGTTTGTCTGCATGCCTCCTTCTAGTTGGCGCAGAGAGGCCTAGATGTCATTTTGATAAGCAGATCTGATGATAAGCTTCAAATGGTTGCCAAAGAGATAGGTAAGGTTCTGCTGCTGTTTCCTCGTCACTGAAAACACATTTGTCTTTCCATGTGCAACTCCAAAGCAGAAATCATCTAAAACATTGTTTCTCTCCTTTAGAGGATCGTTATGGACGAAAGACTCGCATCATCCAAGCAGACTTCACAGAAAGCAATAGCATCTACCCTGCTATAGCCAAGGAACTACAGGGCCTGGAGATTGGAATTCTGGGTAACAGGAAAACTAATTATAGAGCAGAGGACAAGCAAAAAGGAAATTATCTAGATGCCCAATGAAATGAGAAATATTAGATAAAAACAACTGATAGCCTCATAGGTCAGAGTGTCAGTCTTTTGCAAGCAATAAATACGCCTATTTATTTGCTTGCTGAGAGCTAGATGAGAAGAGTGATACCACTCTGTTGTCTATATATGAAGCTGCCGCCTGCATCCACTTAGATTAGCTTAGCACAAAGACTGGAAGCAGGGTGAAACAGCTAGCCTGGCTCCATCTGAAGGCAACAAAATCTACCTACCAGCTCCTGTAAAGTTCATGAGGGGTTGTGTGGAAGACTATTTCTGCGCTGAGCACAGTAGTTTGCTCGAGTCTCTAGGTTGCCAGGCAACCAGTAGAGATATTGGGAAAGCATGGCTAAAAAATAGGCCCACATGTAACCTCCCATAAAATCACAATGCGTCATTTTTTAACCTTTGTAATGGCTGGATTAAACAAGATCTAATATGTTAATTAGTGAACTTTAGGTAGGCAGGACATTGTCACTTTTGGACAGAGCCAGGCAAGTTGCTTCATTCTGGTTGCAGTGTTTGGGCTAAGCTAAGCTAACAGACTATTTGCTTAGCTCCATATTTATCATACAGATGTGAAAGTGCTATAAATCTTCTCCTCTAACTTTCAATTAGATAGTAACACGTATTTCACAAAATGAGGAACTATTCCTTTAATGATTGATCCATCTGTAGCACATCATGTTGAATAAGTAAGATGAACAAAGTTTCTTGTTTGTGTCTTTGTAACCCACACAGTCAACAATGTAGGAATGACCTATTCTGATCATTTTGCCTATTTCCTGGAAATACCAGATGCTGAACAGGTAAGTTTGACGTTATAAAAGTAATTTTCTGTAGACAATACACTGGAGGATTTATTTTTACCTGTCATTCACATACAGTTTCCCTTGTGCTCATATTCTGACCAGAAAATCACTCAGGTTATCAACTGTAACATGCTGTCTGTCCCTCAGGTAAGATATACAAAGTATGTGAGTATTTACTGTGTGACTATGTGTTTATGTGTGTTTTTCGTCTTCAGGCATCAGTATTCACTGTTTCCACTGTATCTGAACACAGTTTTGGTTTTTGCTGTATAAAAAAAGATTTATGATGATTTATATTATCTTCAATCAGATGACCAGACTTGTTCTTCCAGGCATGATTGAAAGGTATTGTCACAAATATTCAGAGATTTACAGTGGGCGTGAAATAATGAGAGTACAGCATGAATTTGTTTGTGAAGATTCTCACTTATCTAGGTCATGGTTATTAAAGAAAAGTTGAATCGAGGGCAACTGGACTTGGCTGTAAATACCCGAAGATGTTTCAAAGCTCTCATCCAAGAGGCTTCTTCGGTTCTGACTGACAGGTTTTTAGCCTGTTTAGGGTTGTTATCAAGGCCAGTGATGTCACATGGTTCATTAGTGCTCCTGGTCGTTGTAAAGTGAAGCCATTGGTTTAGATATGTGTGGCCCATCATCAGTAGCATCAACTCAGTAACTTATAACATTGCCAAGTATATAGCTACCATCCTAGCATTCCATGGACTTTGTAAACAAGGTTTTAGGATTGAAACTGGACCCAGATGAAAGCATAGTGACCTATGATGTAACCTCATTGTTTACATGTACACCAACAATGGAAGCGGTGGAAACTGAAAGACAATGCCCGCACCAAGCCGCTGGTTCAACCACATGGGTCAAAATTAAAACCCAGAAATGCAAGGCTTCGCAGAACATATCAACTTAGTCAACAGAAACATGAAGTTCGCACGCGAACAGCCTGCCTTGTTTGGACTATGCTGTACACCTTGAAGAGGACAGGAGCCTTTACATTGGAGTATACAGGAAACCCACCCACACAGACCAGTACATACTCTTGGACTCTCACCAACCACTGGAACACAAGAGTGTCTGCAGCCCAAAGCAAAGAGGTATGCACCGACCTTTACACCGGTGAAACCAAACAACTACTAAACAAACACATGGCTCAACACAGGAGGGCCAACTCCTCAGGCACTAACCCCTAACCCTACCCAAGACTTAGAGGTTTACCTACACCTGAAGGATAATGGACACTCTTTTGATAACAGTGATGTACATATATTAGATACGGAGGACAGATGATTTTAAGAGGGGGTTAAGGAAGCTATCTATGTCAAAGTAGAGAAACCATCCCTCAACAGAGGCTTATGACACCACGCATCAATGCTGTCCTTTCAACCCGTCCCAGGAGATTTAACAACCATTCACACTTCAGGTGACTCAGTGACTCTAACAACTGTCATTACAACAAGGGGGCAACGGGAGCACTAACAAACCAAGTCACATCAGTGGCCTTGAGAATGACCCCACAGAGGCTAAATACCTGGGTCTCTTCACCAGTAAACAGTACCGAAGAAGTATTTGCAACCATCCAGTTGCCCTCGATTCAAATTTTCTTGGATACAGAATGAATTCATAGTTTATCTTTCATCCCTTCTGCAGAAGGAAAGGCTTGATCATCAATATCTCCTCTGAAGTGGGCATCCGTCCACAGCCTTTGTTGTCCCTTTATTCTGCCACCAAGGTACTTTCTCATCCACACATTCATTCAAACACATCATATCCAGATCATGCGCACACATTCCCTCATTAGTGCACAACTTCATGGCACTCTCTCACTGCTCTGCTTTTTTGTGACTTTGACTTTCTTTTTTATTTCAGATTTTTGTTACATATTTCTCACAGTGTCTGCATGCTGAGTACAAGTCAAAGGGAATTACAGTTCAGGTAAAGTATGCAGCATGAGCTCAAATTGGAGCTTATTTGTGATTCATTGTCTGAAATTGCAAAAGCCAAATGTCAGCCAATTTCAATCCAATGTAACTTGTCAATATATGTTTTGTGAAACACATATAAGCCCCGTTATGACGGTATCACCACCCCCTGTGTGATTTTACAATGTACAGAAGCTTCACTTTGAAGCATTGACTAACAGTGAACAACACATTTCAAGGGTTAATTCTTCTGCCCGTGTAACTATGGGACTCACTCACTATTTGAATGCAGCATTATCTGCATGTACTGACATGCAATTAACTGTAAATAAACTACATTCAGACTCTGTTTATGAAATAAGAAAACTCAAGGCTACAAAGGTTTATTGTATAAAAATCACCATCTTATCATGTAAAGTTTGTCTGTTATTAGGCTTTAAAGTTTTATTTTCTGAAAGCAGGAGAGTATTTCAATATATTTCCAAAACAAAGTGACTTATTTTAAGAATTCTCTAGAAATAAATGTTAGTATCTTGTAAAAACAAAGAATAATGCAGATTCTTGTTGTACTACCTGGTTTTGTCACCTGTTTTACGACTTTTAGTACTCAATGATGGTCAAAAGCGGCTTGATAAGACTGGGATTTACATTTATTTACACCACATTTCCATTTCCAGGTGGATTTCTTTCACTTTACATTTGAAGAACAAACTCGTCATTGCTCTCTGCTGGACAAACTATGTAAGTTTGTCCAGCAGACAGTTTCTAAGTGACCTCAATCATATCTTTGGCATTTTTTTTTGTGAAATTTCTGTGGCCAATGTATAGCTAATACCATGTATCTGATTGGCCTGGCCAATTTATTGTTCTAGTTCTAATTCACAGATGAACACATGATACAGGGTGATGAGGGATCGGTTAGCTCCAGTTCTAATAGAAATACAGTATGTAGTTCAATTGTAAACATACTTTATGTGCCATCATTGTGGAGAGAGAGAGGTTCCCTTTAAGTTACTTAAGAGGGTAAAAACTGAGACAGCGTGACAATCTGACACCTATAAGTGTGATGAAGTTAAATTATACATTGTCCACATAATAAGGGTTAACAGATTATTTTATCTGCCCTGACTCAGCTACCTTTTTTCAGTTTTGATGTGGTTGGAAAATAATTTGAGGTTCGGATGTATGCAGCGCTCCACAGACAGAATAGCCAGAGTAATTTGAACAGTGTGTTTTTATTAGTTGAACAAACATGAAGCTTTTAAAATGAACCTTTGCTCCCTGCTGCTTTCACTGACTCATGTTATCTTCCTCTTTTTTCATTTATTGCACGTGAGGCTGCATCAGACTTACTGTACTTTGGATTTTTCTGCACTGCACTTAATGCCTTTCAGCCTCTTTGGTGTTTTTGCTTCATGATATTAAAGCAAGTTCAACCCATGAAACAACACTTAATGTTTCCCCAGTGTGTGGCTCCCTTCATGGTGTCCACCAACATGACTAACAACATGAACGTCAACTACTTTGTAAAAAGTGCTTCAGGGTTCGCCCATGAAGCCTTGAACACTGTGGGTCACTCCAGCTACACCAGCGGATGTCTATCCCACGCACTCCAGGTCAGAGAGATGAGTGACTACGATCACCTACATATTGTCAGCTGCTGCAATATCTTAATGTCTCACCTTCTCTTTCCTGTCATCCCACAGGACATGGCTCTCACAATACTCATGCCGGACTGGATTCGTATGTCATCATTCCTCATCAGAAAACTACGAAACCTCGCAGAGATGAATGAACATGAAATACAAGCGTGCAGGGAAGAGAAGCTCAGAGAAAAGGAGGAATAATCATCTGCACAGAAGCTGAAGTTCACTAAATGAATGACATGAATGTTGGTTTTTGCAGCTGAATATGACCATTATAAAAGGTTATCTTCATTGTAGGTCCACTGCAGATACCTTAAATATTTATAATATCATAGCAGAGTTAAAGGCAACACTATGCATATAAATATAGTTATGTTTTGTTATTTGTTTATTCTTAATTATTGCATGATGTTTTAATTATCTATGGAGGCGAACATGTACAAAAGCCTTATTCACTCGACCTTTAAGTAGCACTGAGTCACAACATCTGCAGGGAAACATTAACAGAGTTTGTCCCTCTATTGTTGCTATTGCTGTATAGTATTATTACACTTGACAGATCTGCAGACACAATTTGCAATTAAGCAATCTTTTAAATACATAGTCTCTTACAATGATACAATATAACAGTTGCAAAGATAACAATACACAGTACATTTGACCTATATTTACTCCTGTGTACAGTGGGGTCCAAAAGTCTGAGACCACATTCCCATTCAAGTGAATTAGTAAACAAGAGTCAGTCATTTAAGGCTTTCAGTGACCATTAATCACAACTCATGACGGAACATGGTAAAAAGGTAAAGCCAAGTCATGCAAGATGCTTTTTCAGCAACTTTCTATGTACAGTTTGTTAAAGATCCATGCAGTGTTGGATGCTGTAAAACAAAACATGACAAGAGTACTGTAACATTTTACTCATTTTACCCATATTGTATTTTGTAAATGTGGTTAATTATTTGCTGAGTAAAAATAAGAGAACTTACTCTGGTTTCAACCTTGACTTGGTCAAAATCATCCTTGGTCCTGACTGAGACTGAATTCACATGCTCTTCATTATTTTTTAGTAACTCAAAAGTAACCATGTGTAACCCTTTTTGGTGTATTTTTGACAGTTTGCATTGTGAAGCACAAAAGTCCCATGTTTTTTTTTAAGTTAGCATATAAACCAGCAATCAATGCTATTATTCTGAGCTCCAATGTACACAACAGTTCCCTTTGTGAATACTGGAGATACACATGTAACAGCAAAAGTGCATGGAGAACAAATATCAGAACTCGGTTCAGTGCAGAAACAAAAAGCCTTTTGATCACTTGGTCCAACAACCAGCAGAAATGTTAGAATGAAGGAAAAAGCAAGCAACAAAAACACAAAGGACTTAAAAAGATGAAGAATTCGTATGAATTAATACAAAATCCTTTTTCGAAACTGAACCAATAATATATTTACCATGGTCAATCGGTATCACAAAACACCACAGATTTATAATTTCATCCCTGAAATTATATACAGTCATTTCTATATTCAGTGTCCTAGACAACCCGTAATGTTCAAAACAAATTGTGTTTTTGTTCTGAAGAGACTTTGACACATTTTCATCTGTCTCATGTGAAAAGACAGACCTAAAGACCTTAAGCTAATGCAAACAAGAGGTTATATCACAAACATGACCAAAAGATGCTAGTTTCTGCCATTTCTTGGCTAAATCACCAAGCCAGTTCAAGTATATGAAAATAAGAAATTATCCTAGAATTTATACTTTCACCTAAATAAACAGCAAAGTCAGATGAGACTTTGCTGCACATACAATATCAAATGATATAACATGAACAAAACTCCTGACTGCACATGCTCAGAGATCAGTGTATGTGACCGGTGTTACACCATGAATCAGAAGCGTTGGCCCTAAACCACTGGTCACCGCCTCTAGCTGAGCTACGTACTGCTGTGCCTGACTGTGATGAGCAGGGGGTCGAGGTAAATACAGGAAGCGAACAGCAGCTTGCGAGCTGTTCTCCACTAACATACAGTTCACCGCCGACAAGAAGCCCTCAGAAAGAGCTTGTGGCTGCTCTGCAGAATGCTCCCTGTCTGGCTGAGCATGGTGCTGCACCACAGAGTCCCATGGCACAATCTTTATCGCAGCCCTGATCCGCAGCTTCCTCAGCAACTCTCGAAACGTCTCTTCGTTTACCACCCAGCCCTGGTCGCTGGACTCAGTCTCCACATTCAGGAAGATTCTCATTCTTGCATGGCGCCATTTGCTGGACATGTTGAGCACACAGGCCATCTGCAGCAGAAAGAGGCTGCACACGTCTTCGTAATCACGGCTGCCTGGCTGGAGCAGGTTAAGAGGCCACACATCTATTGTGCGCTCTGATCCGTCGACCTTACTATCTTTACCCTCTCCCTCTAACTGGAAGAAATAGCGGCCAAGGCAGACGTTCTTGTTCATTTTAATAGCGTCAGAAATGATCCCAACGTACTCCTCTGGTGATAGCCAGCGCGGGCTCTCAACGTGTCGGACTGGAGGGAAATGGGCCTGTAATGAAGGCAGGTCAACCCCAAAATTATATTCTCCCTCATTACTTTGACCTATTGATGAGTCACAGAATGCAGTATCTTGTAGAAAGAAGTCCTCAGGAGTGCAGCTGTCATAGAAACCAAGAATCAGCGTGTTCGGCTTCATGCCACCTTGTACAGAGAAACAGAAAGCAGAGTGCACAAGAATCACCAAGTGCAGATAAAGTACAAAGATAATCTGTTCTGAATGTGGGCATGATGAGGGTTAAAAGAATTCAGAGCTTACCTAAACCTGTAATGCGCAGCAGATGCTGTGTTCCCTGTCTGACAGAAGGAGACAGCGTCAGATCTACAAAGGCCTTCACTCCGAGTTTATCAACTAGGCTCAACCAGAAGTTATACTGCTGCTGGACTGGGTCTGACGGCAGGGTGTCTAAAACACACAAGAGGCAGAAATTCATATACTGCATGGATTTGATTCATAAACAACACTACAGTACAGGACTTTCTGTCACAGAAACAACTCCTCACAGTTCAGTAGTATTGCAGAAAAGAAAATGCAAGTAAATGACTTTTCTCGACATTGCATTTCTCCTGATGGACACCAGGGGGCAGAAAGGCAATCTCTGAGTTGGGTTAATGAGTGAAAGAATATGTCAGCAAGTTGCTCTCTGAATCCTCAAAGATGCATCTCTCCTAAAAACTGAATATATTTTTCTTACAAGATATGTGTCATTTTGAGAAATAAACAGGGACTGAGATATTTTTCTGAATTGAGAGTTGGCTGGTTTAAACTCTGAAGTCTGATGCCACAGAGGTGCAAAGAGAACATACTCTTTTATTAATAATGCAAGAGAAGCAGCAGGTGGAAAGTAAAAGCCCCGCAAGGTAGCTTTCCATGATGGTGCCTGTCGACTTTAGGTAGGCCAATCAGAGTGGTCTGCTTATCCTCATCATTCAACCTCCGACTGAATGATAAAAATGATCACATGATGCCAAGTAGTCTCAGTGACAAAAGGGGGAGTTTCACTTAGCTACCAAACCTACAGAATGTCCTGCTATAAAGACCCAATTTCAGACAGTGAACTTGATGAAAACAATGGAAATTTTTTCATTTTGTCTGCAGTATTTAAAGGAAAAATTAGTGCTTGGTTTCAAGGGGGGGGGGGATTCCAAGATAAGAATAATTTAATACAGTTTGCTGCAGATGGCCAGCACAGAGCATCCACAGAGCATTACCCAGATCGCCCAGCTGCACATGGCCCAACACATAGAGTCCTCCCTTTTTCAGTTGGTTGACAAACAGGATGAGCTGACAGGAAGAGCGAGGGTTGGCCACCATTAACAGCACCTGCGGCCTCCAGAACTTCACGTGGTCTTTCCTCACATCCAGCATCAACAGATACTTTCGCACCTAAAACCACAGCGGAGAGAGGAGAACAGCATTGTTGACAAACTGGGCTGATTTTGTTTGTGTGTGTGTGTGTGTGTGTGTGTGTGTGTGTGTGTCTGCTGTATGTGCAGATACCTGATGGAATATGAGAGCCTGGCTGATGTAGCCCCAGCTGCTGGTTGGCGATCTGTAGTGGAGGAAAAGGAGCAGCAGTAGCAGCAGGACGATGCTGCCTGAGGAATACACGGGGTTAATGACGAACATCATGACTAAACAGCTGAGAATCCCCAGGAGGCAGGTGTGCCAGGAGAAGAGCTGGAAGGTCGGTCTATTAAACACACAGAAACAAAAAAGACTGAGGCCATTGAACAGCAATAAATATTACTTTTACTGTCCCTTAAAATATATGAGCATAATATATCCAAGCAAGGCTGAACAGGTTGTTAATCTATATGATGATGTTGACTGGTGTTAATTATTCTGGCTTTCAGATCTCACTTCGTAAGAAGACGCGAGTACATTTAGATTTTTGTTTCTTACCCCCCTGGCCAAGAATTTATGGCCACACTAAATGATGGTACTGTGAATAAGCAGATGGCTCTTCAGCAGAAACAGTATAATTGTTTAATTTTAGATACAGCAGATGCTTTTGTTGAATTTCTGCTCTGCAAACTTGTAATGTTACTCTGAAAATTCGACTGCACTGTTGGATTGAGTCCCAAGCTGTTAAAAAATATGACTGCAATTCCTACAAGCCACTGATGGAGGTCAGTAAAGACAATTGATTAAATTTTTTTCCCTTTAATAGTGATAGATCGCTTATTACCTGAAATTTGGTGCTGACGCCCACTCAAGAGCCAAACAGGCCAGGTCAACAGCAGCGAAGGCAAGCAAGTAGAAAACAGTCACCAAGCTTGCTACAGCATTGAGCTGGCCTGCAAACACTACACACTGAAACACAGACACACCACAAACAAACCACAGGTTAGCACACATAATTCTGAAAGCAGATGACTGCACACCGCCGAATCTCTGCTCACCTGTGCCAGGCCCCAGGTGTACAGCACTGCCACCCATGGATTCCCCGAGCTTGATGTGATGGCAGCTGGGGCTAACGGCAGACCTGTTTGGGTAACAAAAGTCTCTTAGAAAATGACTCAGTACACAAAGAAGGCACTGATATGGTGAGTAAAAACCTCAAACTTCACCAAAGAGTTGATCCAGAGCGAGAGCATGGAGGATACGTGATGCCCCAATCATAGCGCACATTGCAGCTGACAGCGAGGCGCAGTATATCCCAATAGTGACGAACGGGGGCCAGATGTTTATGCGCTGGAAGAACCCATAATCCTGAATCAACAGGGTCCTAAAGAAAAAGAAACAAAGAGCTACCAGTTTGTTTTATAACTGCAACTACTTACTAGATTGTTGATTTATCAGACAAGACTATAACAAGCCATTTCAGACCTGTCACAGGTGGCGCTGACCAGGAGGAAGAGGAGGACGTAGACTGTGAAAGTGTAAAAGACGGCGACGATGGTGCCTTTAGGGATGGAAACACTCGGAGTCTTCAGCTCCCCTTCAGAGACATGTGGAGTCAGAGCAAACATCAGGGCCTGCTTTTTTGGGTGTACATGCACCACAATGATAGATTGAACTGCAATGTGTGTAAACAGTGGGGTTGTAAAAGATCTGTTGGCTCTTACACTGATCATTATTCTGAATAATAACATGCACATAGTTCAAAAGTAAAAGCAGCAATGCCATAATGGAATGCGATGTAATTATATATGTAATATCATGACAACAAGCTTTAACCTGACATATTGGCTCCGGCCATGATCCCAGTGCAGCTGGTGAACATGATGGCAAACACGGTGGCAAAAGACATGACAGTGTTGGTGCTGTAGTCCAAAGAGTAACCAGCTAGAGAGAAAAATGAGGAACAACAGCAAGACCTTTAATAGATGCTCCTAAATTTATAAGTGTCATCTGGTTTTACTTGTAAAAAGACTTTCATATCCTCACTTAACCTCAACACTCACAGCCCAGGTTATTCCTCAGCGTGGTAGCACTGAAGCCCGTGTAGCTGGCGTTGTAGCGGAGGGTCTGGTTACCAGATCCCTTACGGGTGATGACAAAGTCGTGAGGTTTCACTGCCACAGAACTGATGAAGATGGAAAGCAAGGATACAGTGACCACCAGCAGGATGACGAAGGCGGTGCGGGAGTAGATGTGGGCGCCCACCAAACACACAAGCAGACATAGAAGAAGGACTACTGAGGAGTATAAAACTGTATACCAGTAACCCTGAGGAAGTACTGGTACCCGCCCTGACAGAGATGACTCTAAAACAGAGAAAAACAGGCAGAAAACTGAGAATCCTTTCAAAAATCGGGATGTGTGCTAAATGGTGTGGGGGAAATAGTTTAGTTAAAGAAAGAAAAAATAACCAAAACTTACCAGCATCTGAACCAAATACGTCAAGTATGGCCTCCACAAGACCAAGAACATACTCCCCACATGCAAACACTTTGGCCAGGAAGAACATCAAACCAATACTTCCTCCAAACTCTGGACCCAGAGACCGACTGATCATGTCTGGTCACATTTTATTAAGGTTTGAGTTTCAACTGAGATGAGTGTAACTGTGGGTGAGATCACGTACCACTCAAGAAAATGAAAATGTGTTTGTTCTGAAAGGATACAGTAGGCTCCACCGCCTTGTATAGCACCGTTGGTAGAAATGGCACAGATAGACAGTATTGTAAGAGATATAATGGTGTAGGCTACAATCACCATTAAAAGACCCTGTAACAGCCCCGCATGACCAACCACAAACCCTGGAAGAGAGATCATGGCAGCATTAGTCCCTGAGGCACAATGACTCAGATATACTGTAAGTGATTCATACAAACAGCCACTGTCTACAACACAAAGCAGATCATAGTTTTCTAATCTCTCTTCACACATGCAGTGCTCACCTGTTCTCAGAAACAGCACAATGCTGAACATGGAGAGGATGGTCGGCACCATCACCCCGAAAAAGGTGTTCAATTTACGAGGGTCTTTACTGGGATTCTCAGAGCTGGATTCTGTGGCGGGGTCCGGGGCTGCACCACATGCCGCTGCGGTCACAGACAGACCGCACACCCCAGAGGTGATCAGAGGTGTGCGTTCACTCGACATGGCTGGTGAGGAGAGTTTCAGACCAGTCTTCTTGTTCTGCGAAAAAGAAATCAGTGAGGAAGGTTTTAGACTTAAAGAAATATCATAACAGAATTTGGGTTGAAGCATTGAATTTTGAGATGATGGTCTCTTTTTTCCGTCTGCTTTGTGTGTAAACAGATTGATTTCCACCATTAAGCCCCACAGGCAAATACATCTCCCAATTTATGTGTAATGCACAACTCTGCTTTTCCAGACATGCTAAGTGAAAGGCTGGACGATAGAAGATGTGACACTCTCTGCATAAATCAACTTTTAAGTAGGTTTTTTTTTTTTTGACAAATGTGTGCTCTTCCCATATGTTAAGGACACAGTGAGACAGAATATTATGTCAGTTTTATCTCATAATGTATACTGCATTTGTTTACTTAATGTATTCTTCTATTTCTCAAAACAAATGTAGCCACAGGCACATACAGGCATTTGCTTTCTCACATCAGTGCAACCAGTGATGGTTTTTGCCCTTTCCAGTGCTTCCTTACAGTGAGAATCGTCATGTGCACAGAAGCATGTGAGTCATTCCATTGCTTCCATCCTCTGATAAATAAATTGTTTACTTTAAAGCGTTGTGAAGAGCTGCGAATATTACAATCTAAGGCCAAACTGAATATGCTTGGGACTTTTTGATGAGATAAAACAAGTCAGATTCAGTGGCTCAACACAAGTATGAAAATGAAATGCAACAGGTTCACCAGCACTTATGTGCCACACAGTCACCTGACACTACGATGAGGAATAATTCATCTGACCTGTTCTGTTACTTTTTTACACAGTCAGTCACATCTCATCTTTGCACCCTTTAATAGTAGGGAAAGAGATTTTTTTTTACTACAAAACACAGTGAAGACCGAGCACTGAAGCGCCACCAGGAAAGGGCTGCAAGTGACGTTTACGACTCATTAATGAAAGCTCATGTTCACACCTAAGGTTGGTATTTGGAGTCACCTGATTCACAGCTGCTTGTTTGTTTTTACACGCAACTCAAACCAAAGAGCAGACATCTCAGCACGGTTGCCTGAGCATTGGTGACCTTTCTTCTTTTCTTTATCTCAGATGCCAGCATCCACCTTTGCCTTTCTTCCTCAAGGTTTTCATCTCTGAAAATGCTGTCACATTTGTCTCAACAACAGCCCTCTCTGCAAATTATTAGATCACATAAAGGAATCACATGATGGCAAACCTAAACTAGGACAGAAGTATTACACAACAAAGCACGACAGGATATGCAAGAGACATAAGCACCTAATTGTTATGGTGACAACACCCAGTTGGCGATTTTTTTTCTACCTACAATTTTGACACTATTTCAACAGTAGAACTGAAACAATTTGATGACTAATTGATTGGCAGACAATTCATCTGCATTTTTCAAGCAAAAATTCAAAACACTCACTGGTTCCAGCTGCTAAGATGTGATGATTTGCTGCTTTTCTTTGCCTTATATGATATGTTTGGATTTTAGACTGTTAGTAAGACAAGTATTTAAAGCTCAGGGTCTAGAAAAATCACAGTAGGCATTTTACACAATTAAAAATCAGTCATCAGTGCAAAAATTAATCAGCAGATTATCAATCATGTCAATAGCTGGTGCAGCCCAGTTTGTTTCCAGTGAGCACTTGGCTGACTCATTTGGTGGATAGTTGCACAAAACTTACAAGTTTTGAGTCAAATATATCAGATGAGACAGACTGTGAACCCCATGGATGAGTTGTCAGTGGTTTAAACAGGGAAGTTGAAGGTGGTGTGAGAACTTCGTACATGCAGTGACCCATATCACTTCATCAAGCTCAGTTCCTGTGATGTAGCTGATGCTCTTCTAGATGATGCCAGTGACGCACTGAGCTGATGTTGCTGATCTTGATGCGGACCGCCTGAACCTATCAAGAGAGGCCCTCTGCGGGTCCCCGGACCCTATTTTAGAAACAACTCGGTAACCAAAATAAATCAACCTTTCCGTCACATGTACGCAGAATAGGGGTGGAGCAAATGCGGCATAAAAACTTTACGTCTTCTGAGAGGCAAATTGTAAAAAAAAAAACGTGGATAAATAATGCGCCATTTTGGGTAAATATCTATTTACGTTCTGAGGTTCACGTTCAGGTCAGGAAGTGGACACGCCGGCGGTTCACCCGGCTGTAATAAACCAACGCACTCGGTTTAAGAAGCTCCTGCACTGTGTCACTCAGCAACATCCAGGATATTTACAGCGAGACGCACCCCGTGGTGTTTCTTATCCCCCCCTGAAACAGCGAGGACAGTCAAACTCACCTCTCCGAACCTCCCCCCGAGACAGTTTCACCCACTTCCTGCTTGAAAACGCCTTCTCTCTGGGGTCCGCTGAGCCCGCCTTGCGTGTGTCTCAGCTCTGTGTTTTTGGCAGAAGATGATGTCCTGGGTCAGATGCGCAGCGGACTGCCAAGTATAACTGCAGCAGGCCGGTGCCCTGTCCCGAGAGTTGGATGCTGTGAAAGATGTGCTGCCCAATAACAACACAGCAGCCATGGCACGCCTCGTCCCTCCGTTATTTGTTCGAAAGTGTCACGGGAGAACAGAAACCGCCCATGTGACTGCCTGAAGGGGAGGGCAAAAGTACCACAAATATGAGCAAAGGTACAGTTTGTCTAACATAACCACGCCCCTTATTTGCAGACTAGTCAAACGTGACCTCACCAATGTTTAGTACAATAACTTCAGATCAGTGTGGAATATATAAATGTTGTTTCATCTGATAATCCATTGTATGCATCAAGAAAAAAAACGTATGGATGCAGACACATTGGCTACTGTCTACAACTATCAGGCGCTTATGTAAAGTTTTACTGTGAGCTGGGCTGTAATGGCATTTCTCCACACCAGGGGTCACTGTTGTGACTAAGATGACGTCCACTATCGAGAGTATTATTATTTGGCAGGACTAACCTCAGGTATCACTAAAATGATGGATTTTTCTATAAAATAAACAAATGTGTATTTATGTATATGTATGTGTGTATATATATATATATATATATATATATATATATATATATATATATAATTGTAATAGTTAAAATCCAGCGTGTGAAATTTGCAAGCCACACAAGCCTGGATCCATTCTGCTCCAAAAAGAAAACAGCACTAAAATTGAACAAGGTGATAGACACGGAGATTGCATGATGTCAGAGAGAGGAAAAAGAGAGAAGGGTGCCTCTGCTAACTGTAAAGTTTCAGTCAACCACATGTTGGACATACAGCATCTGCTCTGGGAGACAGTGGCACCACAAGCTCCTGCAAAACTACAAAATAAAACCCACCACTGACCACAAAGTTGGATTAATAGTATTATGAGTACATTTTACTTTGGTCATCTTACAAATGTTATCATTTCAAAAACTCCTTTGCTTTTATTGAAATAGAGTGGCAGAGCCAGGGGGTGCAGAAGCATTCCTCCACAGTTCTGGATCAGCTTTGGATTTAATAACGTGAATGTTTTTATGGGAGGGAGAATAAGGTTTAAGGTACGACAGCTCAGTCTGACTGCATGTTCATGTTTATGACTGCTTTGTTGTTGACAGATGTGGTTAATGCATGATAGATATCAGGTTGTGTATAATGCTAGTGCTGATGCTATGATGATCTCACTGTGGTGCTTGGTAGCTTTCAGTCATAATAATGTTTGACACATGGTACAGCATCTAACAAAATGTGTTAGATGAAAGTAAGAACAGGTACTAAGGAACCAAACTCAAAGAGCAAACATTCAGGTACAAGCTACAAAAGTACTGATAGCTGCTAATAATGTTACTTAGAAATAATAATAATAATGATAATAGAAAATTGCACAGTTCCTCTCTTATTACCTGCACAACCACAAAACATTAGATACTCTTTCTGACCACAAACATCATAATCTAACCTCTGCACAGCGCCACACAACACAGCAAAAACTGAACAAGGTTCTGATTTCTGTGCCATCCCACAGTGAGTACTGGCCTGGACTAGCCTACCCCTACTAAAAACGTCTCTTCAAAGAGAGTAGACAGACATGATGGATACACTTGACATGATAGACTGAAAAAAAAATACTTGAAATTAAATTGAATTGAAAAATCAAGTGCATGTGTAGTTGACTTCAAGTTTCCACATCATACTTGTGTAAGCTGCAATTTACACAACTGGTGGTTGTGATGTCACAAAATCCTGCTTGTACTCACACGTGTTCAACTTAGTTTTAAGAGGAGCACAGGGAAACTTCCCCCTTCAACGGACAAATGTGAAATCAACCTGCACATACATCAGTCTCGACATCCAAGGAAGTCACCTTACAATAAGCAACACACATAATTGAGTAGAGGGTGACTATAGCACAACTTGTTCTGACAAATCCTGAAGTTAGTACACTAATGGAATAAATCAGGACACTATTGCGACACCTGTGATTTTAATGGAAAACTGGGAGAATGTCTGAATCACATCTAAGTTATTTTAAACATCCCATAGAAAATCCCAATGACTCACTGACAAATAAGTCTCAGCAGATCTCCAATATGTCCTCTGATGGAGCCAGTTCAACTGTTAGTGTTCTGATTTCCCGATGAGGAAGCTGTCTGTGTTTGCATTGACCTCAGAAATCACAGAAAATACATGCAATAGGCCTATATTCTGTAAATTTGATAAATTTCCAATTTACAGTGGAAGGAGTTTATGTTCAAAACATTTTCATGCTTTCCACTCTGCAATTTTCAGGGACCACTCATAGTCCCTGCATTGAGCAACCTGGAGGATCTGTTAACTCAGTCTTCATATTTCTTTCCCCTCTGAACAGATAAACTTGTTGCATGTGGAAATGATGTCAAACCTGCAGAGTGGTCTGATCAGAGGGGGGTCATGGGGTTTAATAGTATTTCAGAAATGGGTGTGGTTGAAACATATGGTTCATGCCCGGATTTGAGGATCCTTCTGCAAACGCTCACCGCGTGATCTGGCAGCCTGTTTCTGAATGATGATATTCAGAAAAAAACAGGAACCGTGTGGATAACTGATCGACAGGGCCGCCTCTCCTCATACTGGAAGAAAATCCGCACAGTCGATCTGCCGATGGGTTGATTTCTTGCAGCTATTTGATCTCATTGTTTTTTCTACATGAGGCACTTTGCAGATTTTACTCAGTAATTCATAGTTGAGTCGGAGGCGGCCGCCCTGATGAAGTGTCGGCAGAGGGAGGAGGAAACCAAAGAGAGGAAGGAAACGAGGATAACGTCACGAAAAGCAGAGTCGGAGTAAAACGGACTGAATAGTATTTAATGGACAATCCTTGATGCGGGCCGGGGACTGAGCTGCAGCTAATTATTGTGTTTGTTTACGCCGGATCGGACAGAGATGTATTTGTTAATTTGTCGGGCGTGAATAAGGCCGAAGCATTTTTCGGAGAGGAAACGGCAGCAGCAGCAGCAGCAGCAGATTTCATCTTTTTCAGGAGCTCCACTAAAGCAGAGAAATGGAAATGTGTGTTGCCCTCCTCCGTTTGCCGTTTTGCTGAAGGATTTGGAAACAGCCCCATCGTGATACACGGAGCTCTAAGTGGATCTCCTTTGCAGCTAATTTTTTTTTTAATGAGTGAAAAAGACGTATAGCCCGATCATCCGCGGGATTTTTGGGGTCGTTGCTTTCAGTTTTTCTTTTCTTTTTTTTTTTTTTTTTTTTTACGGCAGAAAAAAAATAGCAGCAAAAATCATCGGGAGAATTAACAGGTAGCCACCCATTATCAAACACTGTGACAGCAGCTGTAGGCCAGCCTATTGAGTGTAAGATGGCTTAGTGATGATGTGCCTCTTCATGGCATCATTTCGACTAAATTCATTTAGCTACATCCGCATTTTAGGAGCTCAGTATCTGAAACAAGATGTGGCCAAGGCCTTCATCACTGTGCTGATCAATATGTGATGTAGCTTGCGTTCATGGGGCCTGTCTTCCTATTTGAATGCTCCAGGAATCTCTAAACGCTGCAGACAGAGAAATAATGAAGCTCATGAAGTACATACAGTATCTGGCCTCTTTCTCTTTACTGCGGCTTTCATCCCCAGGCCTGCATGTGTAAACCTGAGCCACACAGTTTTACTCTGTGAAAGATGCAGTGGCTGAGTAGGCTCTGCACACTCCTCCAGTTGCAGATATAACCATGCCATGTTGGTGTAGTTACACATCAGATGTGCATCTCAAGGGGTGGGGCCAGTCACACTTCCTCTCTTTGAATTTCTGTCTCCTTGTGTTATAAAACATGCTCTCAAAGGCCAGTAAATGCCCTCAAATGTTAAGGCAGTGAGAACATGCTTTATTCTACTCTACTTAACCCTCATCCTCCTCATCAGCAGCATCATGTAGGAGGCAGCCTCTTGTCTGCTACTAGGCCATGCATCAGTGCAGGTGGAATCTGTATGATGTGTTTGTCTTTTTTCACACTGCTCTACTCCCTGTCCATTGGCATGGCTTCAGCACAAATCGGCTCGTCCTCCAGTCGATGCTCACAGGCAACAAAAACATGCACCCGAGCATCTGGCTGGAGCCATCCATGATGATCTCTTGATGCATAACCCCCCACTCCCCCACCCCACCCCCCACCCCCCACCCCCACACACATCACACACACAACACACGCACTACACACACACACACACACCCAGCTTTTCTTCTCCTCATTGGCTAAATGAGCAGCTGTTCCAGGAGACTGAGACCCATGATGCACCCCTTTTGGCTTCCATTATTGCTGTGTGATCCATCTGGTCGCAGGTCCCTCCAGGGAACAGTGACCTACTGTAGCTAATTGCTCTTCCTTGCAGTGTGTGCTGTATGCATGTTTGCTGTAGAGTGTTATCGTGAATTTGAATTGCTTCACAAATGCAAATACAGGCTCCCTGCCTGGGAAGCTGTTTGAATGTGTAACTGTGCTCCTATCAGGAACAGGAAATGCTGCTTCCCACTGAAAGCATGATGTGATGTCGAGTGTGTGTGTGTGTGTGTGACCCCAGTTGGCCCGTAGCTAAAGGATACATCTCCTACCATCTCCTACCATCTCCTTTTTGGTCAATTTGACCTATTATGGTGAATTTTAGGAACCACATTGCCTCAGATGATAAGGGGAGTCATAAAGATGGCTGTGTCCAGCATTAGCACAAATTCTGACTTAATACACAGCCTGTATGTACGCAGTGTAACAGGTTCCCTCTGCTTTAAAGGGAGTGTTCACTCAGTATCTGCTGCCTGGTAGCGATGCTGGCTGCTCGATAGCAGCTTAGTCATTACAGATTATTCTCCTCAGTTAAACCAGGCATGGTTGCACAGCCATAAACAGATTACAAGGTTTTTCTCACTGTGTGGGTTAAGTAAACCTTAGAGATTAAATTGTGTGTTTTTATTTAATTATTTCTTCTTACAAATCAGGGACAAATGGTATTTTAAGTAAATTATTTGACTTAATTGATTATTATTTTTGATGAAAGTGGGCCCCTGGATTATTGGATTATAAAAGCATGAAACTATGCCAGTCCCAGTGGGACAAACAATATATATCAGCAGTCATTTGCTCTTTCATTCTAAGATGATACTTATGTAAATCATGGTCTGATATTTGAAACCAACAGGTGACGGCTTGGACAAATCCAAAATGAGTGAGCTGGAGCAGCTTCGTCAGGAGGCCGAGCAGCTTAGGAACCAGATAAGAGTATGTCAAATGTTTTTGTAGTTACATTTTCATCTTTGGCATGATAATACCGACATATTTGCCTGTTGTGTTATGTCTCTTTTCTCATCCTATGATTCCATGTCCAACAGGATGCCAGGAAAGCATGTGGAGATTCAACCCTGACACAGGTAAGTGCCACTCATGGTAAAATACGCAACTATAATAAATGTCTATAAATCTTTTTGGGGATTTGATGCTAGTTATTATTACTGGCCATGAATACGGAAACATGGTAACAAGCCCATGTGAGAATCTTGACAAGTTTTAAATACATGACAGTTATTTGTTTCTCAAGAAACGTCACTGTAAAATCTTCCATCATACACATAGTTACCAATAAAAAGGGTGAATGTTACTACACCTAATTCTTTGATGCACCTCTCCTCACCAACCTAGATAACTGCTGGTCTGGATCCTGTGGGGCGGATTCAGATGCGAACGAGACGCACCCTCCGGGGCCACCTTGCCAAGATCTACGCCATGCACTGGGGTTCAGACTCAAGGTGAGTCTATACTTTACCAAACACTTAATGGTGTTGACTTAATGCCTTTGATTGCCTTTTACTTTACTGTTGTTGTGTATCATTTAAATGTACCATTACAGTTTCCACAGAAGTGGATGAGTAGAAAAATGGTCATTCTGAACTGGCCAATTGATTCTTTGGCTCCCTATCGTAACACCTGTAGATGAGATAATGCATTACATTTGAGTATGGTGTGTAAAATGTAAAACCAATGTTATGTCATCCACTCTCAAAAGGAGAAATAATAATTATATATTTAATTATTTCTGGCTACATCCTATAAAAATCTATATAGCACTGGACAGTAACACTCCACTGTGATGTTGGTTGAATCTACATTTGGTTCAGAGTAAAACATCTCCATCAAAACCTTTTCAAAAATAAACAAACAAACATGTAATGTTTATTAAAGTGACCAAACAGGCTAACTAGCTGTTGTGATATGTGGTGGTCCTAACTAACTGGCCGTAACTGTGTCTGTCTTGTCATGTATGACATAACTTTCTGTTGTCTAGACAATTTGAGAAAAACTGAAAATGACAACATCAAATGTCATGACGCAATTATTCTGTGTTTTTTGGGGGTTCAGCTCTGTAGCAGGGTTGGTGGGTCTGTCCATCACTTTGGTCCAGGCTGAAATATTTGAACTATTAGATGGATTGCCAGGAAATGTAGAACAGAACTTCGTAGTGCCCACAGGATGAATTATAATGGCTTTGATGATCCTCTGAATTTCACTGTATTACCATCAGCAGGTCAATGTTTTTATGTTTTTTTATTTTTTTTTTTAATTTTTAATTTTTTCATGAACATTCATGGTTCCCAGACAATGTATCCAAATGGCTTTAGTGATTTCCCCACTCTTCCTCTTGTGCCATCATGAGGTTTTAAAATGTCCCAAAAGCTACCTCAAGACAGATTGACCTCATGTCCCCCCTCAGGATGAATTGGTGTAACTTAATTTTTCTTCTAGCACCACCATCAATGCTAATTGAGAGTGCTAATTAGCAAATGTGAGCATGCTAACACACTACACAAAGATGAACATGGTAAACATTATATAGCTTCTTGACATCAGCAAATGTCAGCATTGTCATTGTGAGCATGTTAGCATGCTGACGTTAGCTCAAAGCACTGCTGTGCCTAAGTGCCAAAACTGCGCCTTCAGAATTTAAACTCAGATTGATCTAATGCACCGCAAAGTGAACTAAAGCACAGATTTAGCAAACTGAGAAATGTACATCATTGCATCTATGAGAGTTATGTTCTGTATGTTATTAAAGCAAGTGACCAACGAGCCGACAGAGTCCAACTTGACTATCTCCACTTTGAACTCAGTTATTGTGTCATCTCCCAGTGTGTCCCTTTTAACAGGATTGGAGCACATGTGCACGCATTCTGAAATAGGTTCTCAGATTTTCCTTCCTGTATATTGAGTAAATCAGCCACCGCGGAGGTTTGTTTCAAATAAAGATTTTTCTGAAAATGAACACTAAGCCCAATGAAGGTCCAACACTAGTTATGCAAAAGTGGCAACAGAAAAGGTTTGAAATGTTTGAATGTTTGTCTGCAGGCTTCTGGTTAGTGCCTCTCAAGATGGAAAACTGATCATCTGGGACAGCTACACCACTAACAAGGTAAAGTCAGCTGAATCATTCTCCTCATCAGGCCATCAGCTGGATAAATAGTCACACTTGGCCTCTGTCCAAACTGGGAGTGCAAGTGGCATTAGGTCTTTGTCTTGTAGGAGTGTGGTTGACTCATAACAGCTTCCTTTCAGTTTTAATACTGGCCCTGGGGTTTCTTCTACCCCAGAAGTTATATGTTTGTTGCTTCCAAATACCTTTCCTGTCCTAGATCCATGCCATCCCTCTTCGCTCCTCCTGGGTGATGACCTGTGCTTACGCCCCCTCTGGGAACTACGTGGCCTGTGGAGGCCTCGACAACATCTGCTCCATCTATTGCTTGAAGACGCGTGAGGGCAATGTCAGAGTCAGCAGGGAGCTACCTGGCCATACAGGTGAGAAAACATCGCATTCTCAACCGCCTCTGTTTGTGCTCGACTCTTCTGTGAGTCAAAGTGATGAGACATTTTGCACAGCAGTCCCCTGCCTCGTGGGAAAGCTCCAGTCCCAAACCCCTAAACAATAAAGATTTCATTTACATGGTTAATTAATTGCAGGGCAACACAGTCTTAATGAGCTGAGACATTACTGAGAGTCTGTGAGACTGAGACACTGTAGCTACTGTGCTGCTGTACATTATTAGATTGAACACCATTTCTGTTTTCTTTCTTGGCAGTATCATGATATGTAATATTGTTGTGTTTGGGTCTAGAGTTTATATTGATTAGGACAAATTAATTGGAAATCCATGAAATTAGACTAAATGAATTACATTTTTGTCTGCAAATGGGCACAAATACACTACATTTATAATTCACCAAGGACTGTAACTTAATATCAAGGTGCATCTAATGCTTTAATTTCCACTGAGGGTGGCGAGGACATGTCCCCCTCACTTTAACTGCTTTAGTTAGATTTTCATACTAAAATCCCCATAAACAGTGTCTTCTTACTATTCAGATGTTAAAATCCAGATTAGGGAAGCTCTGAGTTAATAGAAGTCTTCTTTTTTTTATCAGCCATCTTCACAGCAATCAGCTTTATTTGAAACGAGTGCTTTGCTTTACTTGTTTTGCCTTAATTTTGCCTCTCAGGCTGCACACATCCTGCCTGCTTTATTGGTGGCTATATGACGCTTTACTGGGGCCGAATGCAGCCTGAAAGGGATTCAAAAATAATTTCTGAACTGTGAATATTCTCCTAAAAACATGCTGGAATCGACCATCAGTCAAAGAAAGGACTTTAAAGGACAGTGATCTTTGTAGTGAAGATGAAAATGTCAAGGAAAATAAATGATTTGAAGTAGATTTAGAGAGTTAACAATTCACATAACCTTTGTAATCTGTTTTTGTAAAAAACAATTATCACATCATAATTTGTTATTTACTAGATTGATATAAATGTATTTACATGCAGGAAATGGCATTTCACCCTTGTCCTAATATTTTGTACATTCAATATAAAGTTTCTTATGCGTAGGGTATTAAAGTAGACTCCCATAATGCCACTCGACAAGACATCTAAATGTACATATCACCTTCAGTTTCACAACAGTAACTCATCCAAGCATCTGTTCTTACTGTTCTCTCAGGTTACCTCTCATGTTGCCGTTTCATTGATGACAATCAAATCATCACGAGTTCAGGAGACACCACATGGTGAGTGACTCAAATCAACACACAGATGTGCCGTGCAAACAAGCTTTCCTGAGCCGATAGGCGTCTAAACTCTGCACTCTCTACCCCAGTGCACTGTGGGACATTGAGACAAGTCAGCAGACCACGGTTTTCTCGGGCCACAGCGGTGACGTCATGAGCCTGTCCCTGTCGCCCGACCTCCGCACCTTTGTGTCAGGAGCCTGCGACGCCTCGGTCAAACTGTGGGACATCAGGGACAGCATGTGCCGGCAGACCTTCACAGGCCACGAGTCGGACATCAATGCCATCTGTGTGAGTGTGCTCGGGGCACGAGTGGCCTTGTAACCAAATCTGTCTGTACTCATACTGCTCTTTATTCAGATGTTTTTTTTTTTTTTAATCTGGGATCTGTTCTCAGACAGCTTAACACAAAGTTCACGTGGTAAAAGTTATTGTGGAAACAGCTGCATATTGTCTTTTGGATGGATCTTATTGCTTTATTTAATCTGTTTCTCATAAGTCTAAAAGAAATATGCTAAATGAATAAGTAACACAATAATAATCAATTAATAAAAACAATATCAGGACATGGTACACAATTCCAATAATGAATCTGAATGTAAACTTGAACCCAGAGATAAAACAAAATAGAACAAAAAAATGTATCAAATGAGCCTATTATGTCTATTAACAGATATCTATGAGAAATGTTAACATCAAATAACTGGCATTTAATATCAGCCCAGCTGTGGTGTAAAGTAGCAGTGGATCCCTCCTGTGTTTTGTCTAATATGCTATCAACAGAGCAGCTCCAGGATTTGACTCTGTGACATCACACACTGCCTTGTCTCCAGCTTTGGGAGGGATTTAAACTGGGAGCATGCTAGAGGATTAACAAGATTATCAATTAACACCATATCTGAACATCCTGACCATTAGGAGACAATCTCCAGTGCAAGTCTGGACTGATGCACCACACAGGTTATCTGCTTGTTTGACAGGTGGACAGGTTCAGTATTAAAACATGAAACAGGTGATCATCTTTTAGCCTGATCAGATTCAATCCAAGAGTCAAGGTCTCATATACTTCAAGATACATCCGACACTACAATCTACTACACTACTATCTTGTTATAGCTGTATTTTTAAGGAATCATCTCACTTCCTGTTCTTCTCCTCAGTTCTTTCCCAACGGCAGCGCCTTCGCCACAGGCTCTGACGACGCTACCTGCAGGCTGTTTGACCTGCGTGCCGACCAGGAGCTCAGCCTCTACTGCCATGACAACATCATCTGTGGTATCACCTCCGTGGCTTTCTCACGCTCCGGCCGTTTGCTGCTGGCTGGTTACGATGACTTTAACTGTAACATCTGGGATGCCATGAAGGGGGACAGAGCAGGTGGGTGGAACGGGCCAGAAAAAACAGCTGTTTTGTGTGATGTCACAGGGTAGGCTGAAAAAGCTTCATCTTGAAGCTGAAAGAGGAGATTATTCATTATGAAGCTACTTCACTGAGACATCAGGGGTCTTTTAATATTTTTGTAGTTTTTGTTGCCTCCAACCCTAAAAATTTAGCTTGCTATATTTCTGTCTCTATACACTAACAGCATTTAAAACTCCTAACTATATAAGGGTTACTTACACGATGCAAAATGACACCAGCATGTATCACTGCAAAAAAGTGTAAAACTGACTCTTACCTGAACTTCAGTAAAGTTAAGGAGGATTTGAAAAAACAGACACTTAAGCTTTTTTTTTGACACAAAGGGCAGTCCATATTTTAAACAAGAAATCATGCTTTATTTTAATATGCAATTCAGACTCAAAGTGAAGTTACAGTGTGTGCTTTTGTTTTGAAAGGAATTTCAGGGTAATGCAGCTGACTGTGATACCTTGCTAAAATGCCTGCGGTGGAAATGAAAAGAAAACATTCTTCTTGACTAAGACCAAAGCTAACAAACATAATGCTGTGCTTCCAAAGTGGTACAACAAGCTGCAGCTATTTGTTAATTAATTGATCGGTAGAAAAATAATAATGAGCAGCTATTTTTTGCAATTGATTCATGGCTTAAATTATTTTTCAAGCAAAAATACCAAACACATACTAGCTCTAGCTTACATTTGCTGCTTTTCACTGATTTATATCATTGTAAACTGAATGTCTTTGGGTTTTGGACTGCTGGTTGGACAAAACAACAGTCAATGTTTTTTTCACTGTTTTCTGCCATTTTCTAGACTGAAATGATTACTTTAAAAATATTGGCAGATTAGAAGAAGAAGAATTATTAGTTGCAGCTCTACATTAAACCATTTGATCTAAGTTTACATATGATTATTTCTGGGGAAATAGAGCTCCATGCCAGACTTACCAGTGATTTCACACATTCCTCTTTCAGTCCATTTCCCATGTTCACAGCCTGATTTTGTACAAAATGTACATCATTGGTTAAACCACCCACCCTGTGGTGCAAGTTAAAGCACAAACAAACACTGGCTTGCTGTGTTCTGTGTGGTTTTTAAGAAGTCTCAGAACAGTCTGCAGAGCAAAACATTTCACAGCAACAAGTCTTCTTTTGTTTGTCCTCATCCCTCCTGCAGGAGTCCTTGCTGGCCATGACAATCGTGTGAGCTGTCTGGGTGTGACGGATGACGGCATGGCGGTGTGCACCGGGTCCTGGGACAGCTTCCTTAAGATCTGGAACTGAGCCATGCGTATAAACAGCAAACACACGTCCAACAGACAGACACCGCTGGGACACAGTTTGCACTCTGTATTCACACTGTATGTAAGATTCAACAGACAAACTGCAATGTTGTACTGTACATAATATATATGACTTAGGTATGAGTTTACACACACACACACACACACACACACACACTTTATGCAGGACAAGATGACACAAGACCTGAACACATACATACACTACCTACAGCTGATTTAAATACACAGCAGCAAGGCTACAGTACCACACACACACACACACACACACACACACACATATATATAAAATCTGTAAAATGTCAAAATGTGACCAAATACAGTTGAATCCTCAGCTGCCCAAATAAAAACACAAATGCCACAATGACCTGAAGCCTTTTAACACATCTAAAACACAGTCTCTCTCTCTCTCTCTCTCTCTCACACACACACACACACACACACACACACACACACACACACACACACACACACACACACACACACACACACACACACACACACACACACACACACACAGCACACACACATCCTGAGAGACACTGCTCCTCGAGTTAAACGGGAGAAGAAGTAATTGGACAATTCTGTCTTTGTTTACATTGAAGTCAAAAATGCACTTCAGACAAGTTTTTCTGTACTATTTTTGTCTCTGTACCACTCGTATCTCAGCAATGGTAATGTGAAGGAAAAACAGTCGTGGATGAGAATCACGCGAGTCCATTAACACTGAAAAAATAAATGAATAAATCACTGACAGACAGTATGGATCGGTGATCGAGTCCAAGACAAATTTCATCTGGCTCAAAACATCATGTAGTCACAGTTTTTATAGAAATGTACCCCCACATACAGTACATCTGTTCTGAAGTTTGATTTTATTTTTAACACTTCTTTTATTCATGTTCTCCCTGTGTGCCTCAGATACACTTTAAGGATTATTAATAGAGAATATTGATAACAGTTAAATTAACTCAAAAATATCCGTGATTCAGAAGGTGGGTGAAAAAGAAAACCATTATAAGACACATCTTAATAAAGCAGGAGCCAGTATTCAGACTTTGACTTTGTCATTGTATTATCTGGACATTACGATGGTATAATTGTACATAATATTAATAAATAATAGCCTCTCCTGCCAGTTATTGTGGTTTCTTTTTTAAAGCACTGTTTCTAAGAAAATGTTCTGGATTTGAAAAGTGATGAACTCAGTGGAAAATGATTGGTATTCAGGTGCAGTTGATGTATAACTGTTCCAGTACTGAAGAACAACACATACAATGACATGCTGTTAAAATAACATTGGAGCAGTTTCTCAATAGCCTTGTCACATTTTACCACAAATTCTAGTTTTTTATTCTTATTTTACAGTCAGGGGTTGCTTTAAAGAATCTCCACAAGTGAAATTCTGTTCAGGGATCGATTTGCCTTTTCAAAGTTACATGTTAAATTCTTTAAGAATTAACATAAACTTTTCTTGTTAAAGCCTATCATTAGTAATAGTATGTCCTGGTAAATAGTGCCACAAAATGACCCACATTAAATACAGAAAATAAACAGTTTGTCCGTAAGTAATGTAAAAAAAAATATCCTATTTAAACCTATATAGTAAAACCAATATAATAGCTACAACAAAAAACAGAAGTTTAAAGTTGCCTCTCTCTTCTGGCAAAGCAATAGTTGTGGTTCCTCACAGAAAACCATGAAAAATACTCAATCGGTAATGAGTGATAGCTGAACATTTGACTAATGAATTTTTTTCTCTAATGTTATGAATCAGTAGTTCTGTGCTACTCAACATGCAGAAAAAGGACAAATCATCTGTGTTCAGGTCACAGCAATGTTATTTAATATCTTTTCAAATCATTACTCATGGTTAACAGACTAATAGTTTAGTCAAGAGTAATTCACCTATTTCTGTTGATAGAAATGAAACTGCAATGTAAAATTCTGGAAGCTTTTTTAATTTTAATTTGGAGGACTGAAGTGTTTTTGCCCTCACCCACCAGGGGGTGCTGCAGCTCAGTCAGCATCTCTGGTTCTCAAAACGAGGATGAAAGCTTTATCCATTAATATTTTCTCTATCTTTTAGCTAGTTAATTTAATCCATATAATAGTGTGACTCTGTAAATTCTGTGCCTAATGTAAAGTGTACAGTGTCACCTCATGTAAAGCAGTAGTGTCATATCTGTAAGCAGATTTCAGCACCATCATGTGGTTGAACACTAATGAATATTTCACTCTGGTCACCACTATAGTGTTAAAGAAAGTGTATAAATCATTATTCTGGAATCATGTTTAGTCCCCTGGTAATAATGACCCAAAGAAATGTACTTCAGCTATTGTGTGATGGATATTTTTCACAATACAAAATGAATTAAGCAAGACTAATACAGACCAAAATGAGATCAAGGTATTTTATTTTTCAAACAATTCTGTATTAAGACATGAATTCATTCAACACAATCCTTTGAAAGTTTAAAGTTTATCAGTCTATGAAATACAATCTGGAGTTAACCTCTCACAAGTAACACAGACGCGCGCGCACACACTAAAACATTGCAAAGATGTTTACCGTCTTTAAAAAAAAAAGTTATTGAAAAAGAATAATAGATATTGTAGTTCTGTCCAAAGATCCACGTCATTTTTGAGCTCCCCAAGTCTGATCTGCCTCGCTCCCAGCTACAGCTGCTATTCCATTCATACGCTATTGATTAGAAGTATAAGCTATTAGAGAGGAGTGCCTCATCAGAATATTAGCTATCATCCATTTATCAATACGTAAAAGTTCATAAAGGCAGTTTCTGGGATTTCACTACAGCAAAACAAGAACAAGCATCCCAACAGGTGACTGTGTTAAACTGACACAGAGAAGTAGTATTTCTTGTGATTACAAACAAAAAGTACAGAACAATTTCTGTAACAAGCGACACACAAACCAGCCAACATTCAGCTTGCCAAAGGCCACTGACCAATCACTTCCTGCAAGTCACACTGAGATGGACAGCCATGGTTTTGATTTGTTCAAATGCTTGTATTGCTTATAAAAAAGAAATGTCATCTACACCTTCAGCGCTCCACCTACAACTCAGCAGTGTGTCTTTCTTTCCGATGAGAAACTTTGTGCGTCTTGGCTGTTCAGAGCCAGGTTACATGAATTCTGCTGTCAAATCTGACACAAATCTTCCCTAAAACTAAAGAGTTGTGAGGTTCACATCTTCAATGGCTCTTGGCATGAAATGAAAAAGCACTTTCATACATTAAGGTGCTTATAGAGGAATCAATCAGAACTACTCTTCTGTTTTATAGACTGCAACCCACTGTAGGAATTTCTGCTGCATGAAAATAAGACAACATAAGAAAAGGACAACTCCACCAATTTTGCACAACAAACTTTTTAGGGGTCTTGTGGAAAAAGTTGTTGAAAGCCTTTTGTGAATCCAGAGAGAACTGCGTAAAATCTGATAAACTGGTTGGGGCTCAAGACTAAAATATCTAAAAATGAATCTCTGGTTCTGATGCATGAATTTTGATCTATATTTTTTTTTAACTGTCCATCATGAGACAGACAATGTTCCAGAGGACCAATGCAAAATCAGTGGAGTACCCTTTTAATTACATTTTATCACACAAATCCAAGTTTATTGTGCGCACTCTGCACGTCAGTGTCATTAAATGTTAAGTTTAATTATAATTCAAAAGTTAAATGCTATCAAAAAAGAGAGATCACTGTCTGTACATTTTATTTGAATTAAGATGAGACAGTTTCAAATTGTTTTCAAAAATAATTTTTGCAACATTAAATTCTTTGTTATTAGGTGCAGTGAAGCTATGAGGCAGCAAACAAAATGGCAGAGGAAATGTCCGACCACTCCATACTTAGTGTTGTCACCTCAACTTCATATCATGGTGACAAAAATGTATAAAACTAAATTTATCAAGGGTCTGTCTGTGTTTTGTAATAGTCAGTGATTGATCAATGCATTTTTCACTTGCTGCCTTTTTTGATAAAATCCCAAAGCCAAGAGCCACTAACCTCACAACAAAGGCCATTATGCCCATTGCGTCACCACTGTGCCACCTGTGTGATGATGCCTGTCGTCACCTGAGCATATTAAAAGCCTGTCAAACCCACATAGGCAATTTACACCAGACGTCGAGAGTCCAACACCAATCTATGAGTCACCATGCGTGTTTGAATCACAGCCAAAGTTGGCTCTTCTGGTTACCAGACGACAGACATTATTTTTCTGTCTGGATAACCCAACAGAAATGCTGTAGTAACTGACACTGTCCACATACAGACATCTGTCTGTGCGGACTACTCGCTTCACTATAACCAACTAGTTAGACTGGTTACATACTGACAAGTTTGACGACTGCTGAGTGAATGAGGAAAATAAAACTCCATCTCTCTGTTATACTCGATTACAGCTTCAATCTCTCTGCCTTAAATACATTGTGCTTTGATTAATAGAGTGGTACACATTTTTATATAAATACAAATCTGTCTTATAGATGTACATTCACTTTTATTTCTCAATATAGGCTAATTTACATATTTTATAAAATAGGCTTCTTAGAATATATCGAGCTACTTTCCCCACTACAAGATTAAACAATCAACATCATTAAAGAATAAGCATTTACCTCAACTTTGCTGCAAGAACCTACATTTTCTGAGCAGACATCAAACACACTTTAATTTGATCTGTGCACAAGTACTAAGTTTTCTTCTACAAACATGTTTCCTACATATGGCTTTTCTCTATGCTGGCTCCCACTGTGATAAGATCCTCTACTAGTTACACTGGATTAATTGGACATGTATTAACTTATTTGTTATTGCAACTTTCTGAAAGGATAATCATCTGCAGATCGTTTTAGGTGCCAAAAAAGCATTTCAAGTCCCTCTACGGGGTCTTCTGGATTTGACTTAAGTGCACTTAACTGGCACAGAACATTAGTCATAATGAGGGAGCAAAAATAGTTGTGCCTCTTCTTCATGTGATTTCAAGTAAGAGACAAGTGGGGTAGGGGGCTGGGGGGCTCACAACCCATCCTAAAACTTCTCGCCTTCCCAACTCCAAGGCACTGCTTAAACTGTAAACATGGCAGATTGGAAAAAAAAAAAAAAAAGATTTGCCCATAAAAAGAATGAGTGCCAGAACTCCTGGTGTATTGTAATTGAGAAAACTGAAATGTAGGTCATGGCACACAACATATGTAGGAATAAAAACACATTCGCTAAAGGGGAAAACAACTTTGATACAGTAATACATACTCTATTTCAATGGCTTACATGCACACCAAAGTATCTGCTCGAGATATATTCGTAAATGTGTGTTTACTGAAGTGAAAGTGCTTTCCATGCTCATTTACAGTTTGTTTTATAATCTTACCGTTAAATTAACCATCTATTTATATAATCTTTGATTAAACGCTCTCTGCCCTGACTTTTCACTGCATTCTTAATAGCTTTCTTTTTTCAATGCATAAAATATATCTCCTTAGCTTAAAGCGTGACTTTAAGCTGACTATCCCACTGATCACTTGCCAAGATTCCTTTTATAACATCCAAAAGCTTTTCATACTGGCAGTTTCACAAAAACTTTACAGTTGCATTCTTTTAACATCAACATGTCAGCATTTATTTATAGGCAGATGATCTAACTTTCCCCACAACTCCATGCTGATTAGATGCATGATGGGAGTGAGTAAAACCATCTTGGTGTGGCAGCACAGTGTTGTTGTAACCACACTGTAATCAAACACTGAACACAAAGCTTGATTCATGTGTTGATCTACCAACTGCTGACAAAAAAAAAAAAACCCACCAGGCTACTTCCTGATAATGCTGCCTAATACTTCTACCGTACTGCCTGGTGTATGAGAGCACAATATCTCCCTTATGCAGCTGCCGAAACGAAACACACACTTGATTCTTCTAAAGAAAAGGGGAGGGGGAATATGTGCACTACTAACAAACAAAGAGTCCAGATCTATCTAAGCAATCCCAAGCAGCTATTAAAGCATAATACCATAGTCATCCTGAAAAGCCAGTTAATTCTTTGGATTTATACACTCAAAGGAAACTGGTTAGTGATCAGTAGGAATAGTTTCTTCTAAAATCTCTATAGTCGCCAAATAAACTCTTTTGCCTTTGGCCTTGGTTCATACCCCAACAACAGAATATGCTGTGAACTTTGGCAGAATGTATAGATATGAAATATATTGAGTCTCAAGTGTTCCAGCCGTGTTCTCAAGTGCCTGATGAGATGGAGTCCTCTGTGGTATTGCAGAGTCGCCCTACATTAAATCTTTCCACTGGCCCAAGACAAATAAGAACTGTACCACACTAAGAGCTTTTCCACTGCAATCCCCAGGACAAACACTTCTCACAAAAAGATCCACACTAACAAAAATAGCCTAAGAACTGAAATATAATACAGTAGAGTAGATCACTGTGGTTGGAGGGTGAAAGAACCCTGAAAATGATCTCCCTTCATCACTATAATCTCAGCAACACCCTCCTTCTACATTTCTCCAATGTCATCCTTTACTGACAAATGTCCCACCCCTCTGTCCTCCAAAGTTGTCACCATACTCCCCTAACTAGTACTAGCTAAATACATGAACTCTCCTCTTCAAACAAAGACTCCACAAGAATAGAATATATTGCAATATAATGGCAATATAATTACAGTAAAATTAAGAATACCAGTAGGCTAATACCAATACAGAATCACTACATATAAATATCAAATTTTTGTATTTTGTAAATCTACGAAAACAAAAACTTTAGATACAAGCCTGATGAGTCAATTAATGGTTTCACGTAAACCATAGAAAAAAAAGGCAAAGCAGGAGATTTCACAGTACTTATTCTGAGTACTGCACATTTATGAGACTTTTGATTGTTTTTTTTTATTATTATCTATTTGTTTTTAAACTGAAATTTATTTTGCTTTTGAAGCATTCAAGGCTTACTTGCTGTGATTAAGAGTTGCAACATAATTTGCCATTCAGGCCAGAACAAAAAAAAAAGTTATTGAGAGCAGGACTTCAGGTCACTGTCTACTGTAGCACAAGCTACTTTATTTGGACTTGAATGTCCCTTTATAATATTTTTTATATTAAGTCCTTCCTTTAAGTCTTCCTGAAATTGTGAAATCCCCAAAACAACGGGGAACCACCAGCCACTGCAGATGGGTGTTCCAGCATTTTATTATTTATCCATGTGTCCAGTGGCAACACACTGAATGGAGGCTATATGAGAGGCCTGCAAATGACTCAGATCTAAGTGTGTCAGGTGCTAACTATTTACAGCTTCATTTTGACATACAGTATTGGTAAATAATGCCTTCTGCAAAATGTACTGCAGAACCATCAAGGAATGTTTTTAACATACTTCACAATTAGGAACTAAATAGTTACGACTGAACACAGGTCCACCAAGTAAAGTAAATCAAGACAAGAATATATACAGTATAAATTAATAGATGGTATTAACATTTGAAGCACATCAGTGTTTTTTCGTGATGATTCCAGGGAGAATGTTATCAGGGGGCCTCGGTAGAAAGTGTGACTTAAGGAGTGTAGGCTGGAATGAAGTTAGATATTCTTTGTGTTTGTGTGTGTGTGTGTGTGTGTGTGTGTGTGTGTGTGTGTGTGTGTGTGTGTGTTTGTCTATTAGAGTGCATGTGTGAGAGTGAACTGGAGAGAAAGTGAGGGAAGTGTTCGCGTTTGTGTGCATGCGTTTGCAAGAATTTTCAGATGCACTTCCTTCTCCAAACCCTGCTGGGTTCCACACACTGACCAGAGCAGCTGTTCCTTCACCAGTTCATGATGCAGTTTCTGTTCAAGGTCATGAAGTACACCTGGCTGCTGCCGCCAGACCGCACTGATGCAAAGAACACCTGAGGGACAGCACGGACACAAAGGACATGTATGTCAGTAACGTCTTTAAATTCAGCTGCTATTAGTGACCTCACAGCTCCATGCTTTAAGTGCTTGCAACTCTCACCTTGTCATTTCTCTCACAAAGGAACTTAAGCCTCTGAGCTCTTTTGTGCATGAAGACACCATCCAGGTGTCCAGTCTCCACAGAGCGGATCTCAATGGCCTTTTCTCCCCAGCCCATGATCTGATTCGAGCAGATATGAGCTGCAAGGCAAAATGTCATTTAACTACAAAGCAAACTGATTACAGTTCATACACATGATGTGGCCACTTTAATCTAAGTGCATCTAAGGTGTTTTTGGATTTGACCCGTACCAACAGATGTGGGCATCTCTCCCCACTGCAGGACCACGTCTTTGATGATACGTCCGTAGGTGTTGACATAGACACCCTCGTCTTCGTAGCACAGCAGCATCTCCATGCCGTCTGAGCTGGGCAGGAACACAATTGCGTGTGGTGTCACATGGCTCTGGATCTGTTTGAGATGAAAATAGAAGGGATGGGTTCCTGTTGTTTTCACATCTGCCAAAACACTGTTTCTGTCTGACAGCTGTACAACTTACATGTACAGGGATATAAATGTCATAGTTGTTTCCAGAGTCCACGTCAATGGCATGGAAACCAGCGCAAGAGCCATAGATGACCTTCAACCTCTGACCCTCCTCCACTGTTAGGTCAACCAGGACAGGCCTGTGTGGCAGGTCTGCAAAAGACTGGTTAAAAGGAGTGGAGGGATTTAGGGGCAGAAAGTGAGTGTGAGAAAATAATCAAATTGAATGCTCTTCTGGTTGACTGATCTTGCATAACTAATCTAGCTCATGAGAAAGGAGAGTTACCTTGAAGGCCATGAATTTGTGATAAGGTTTGGGTGCCCAAGCGTACACTTCCACTGCATTCTTCAAAGCGATCACCAGGAACTTTATCCTCTCATATTTCACTAGATAGAACAACAAGGCCATCTGATATCAAATACTTGTTATCAATAATTCACTGTGCCACATGCATTTATGACAATATGCCTGAAGCAGAATAGACAGCAGTGATAAATAGCCATCATATGTCACTCACCCACTTTGTAGTGCACGCAGCCCTCCATCTCCCCCACAGTGGTCCAGCCTTGCTTTTTCTCCACCTCAGGGTCATTGTGGAGGATCTTATTCCTCAGCCAGGCCAGGTAGTAGACACGCACCTTGTTTTTCTTGCCTTCATAGACACATTAGGAGATTATTAGAATTATTTAAATGCATTTACATGGAAGAAACAGTATAGAACTTTAACTTATATACCTCACTTAAATATCCTTTCCAAGTTTTAAATATTGCTTAAAAGTTACTGACACAAATTTCTTATGTGAACATGCTGACTTCCTCTACCTGTGTTTTTTAAATGTTTCCACCCCTTGTTTCTCAAAGTAAATATCTGCTAAAACCAACAACATCATCACATTGCAAATATGGTTCTCAATATATTATATCGAGACTTGATCCTGTGAAAAACTATCACTCCCAACTTAAGCAGCAATTTGGCTTGATATTCTGATAAAAGTGAGGTATGTGTTCAAAAATATTGTAATATTAGCTTCTGTCACTATGTCCAAGCTCTACACACACAGAAATAAAAACAGCATTCCTGTGATTCTGAAAGCAAAGTCAAAATGCAATGCAATGCAAAAAAAAAATCTGAAAGTATTAGCACAATTTGGCATCTAGTATTTGGCATCCCATTAAAGACAGTGGTCCTATGCCAAAAGCACAGGCAGCTTCAACTGACTGTAGTGAGAGCAGACTGGCGAGGAGCAGCATTAACGACCTGATATGGTGATGAGCAGGTTGAGGCCCTCCAGGACGTCCATCTGTTGGAATCTGCGGGAGTTGATGAGGGGGTAAACCTTGCCCTGACCACTACGGTCCAGCAGCTTCAAACCGTTCTCTGTGCCCACCAACAGGTTCACACCTGGAGACACACGTGCACAAATACACAGCTTTTTCAGTGTGCATGCAATGATTCCAATTATTGCCTTTCCGCTAGCCACAGCTAAAAATATCTTTGCAGTATGCCTGTTTTGTAACTTCTGTTATTTGTCATCTTCAATATGTTTATTTTCCATTATCGTTTCCCCATTATAACCTGCAGCAACTGCACTGCCATAATATTTAATTGTGTTTTAATGAGATGTATAAAAGATAACTTTAATGGATACATGATGTAACTGTGTGATGTGACCCATTGACTACTGTATCTACAAGCATATTTGAAGATGGAGTAGAGAGACTCAATAATGCATTAAGTTTGTTACATAAAAACACAACTTTAACCTTTCTCCCTAAGTTACATGGGTGAAAGATTGAAGAATTTATTTTATAAAAATTGCTTGGATAATGAAAGCAGAGACACTATGTTCTCTCATGAAGAGTTATTAATACAGTTTAAGATACACCACTAGACTCAAATCTAATTTTCTTGCTCTTGTTTTGGTCATATTTGCACCCAGAGCCCTGTTGGAGCTGACATAGTAGTTAGCGATAAGGAGGGTTAAAATAACTTGGCTCTGACACTGACTGATTTTTCTCTATGTTTTCAATCTGATTGTGTTTAATTGATATACCATATAATAAGTAATATAGTTAGTTTAAGGTATCTAATCTCCATGTTTTGGATTTTCTTTTTTACATTTACACTAAAGTATTGAATCCGTTCTTACCCCAAAGTGCAGCACACAGGATCTCAGAGTTAAATCTCTTCTTGTACTTGCGGATCTCAGGTGTGTCATTGGGGGGGCGTGTGTTGGTGGGATTGACATTCACCATGGATCCTTTTCTCACCTCCATCTTCAGCTGCTCAAACCTGGAGCCTAAACATGGAGGCAGCAATGGAAATTGTTTAATTTTGGAGGGAAAACACAAACCAGGAAAAACTGCTACAAGGTTTGGAATTACACACAAATTTTCAGTTCATTCTTAAAGAGAAATTACAGCCAATTATCAAGTTACAATTTTATAAAATACATATTCCATTGTTGTGCAAGATATTCTCTCAGTCTTGAAAGAAAACTGCGTAATTTCATCTCTCAGTGTATTTTATTGCACAAGAAATAATGTCAAAGGTTAATTTACTGAATACTTTTGCAATCAGCTGTAGCATCATTGTTTAATGTTCAAGGAGCTCAGAGCAGATGTTGCTGCAGGACTGAAAAGCTTCTGACTCACTAGTGACAGAGATGTTATCCCCTGTACCTCCTGGTGACTGGTACATGCCCAGATCCACGAAGGTGGTGAAGGAGGACTTGCCAGATGCTTTAACCAAACCTCTCGACTGATACTGGTGGAGCAGAGAAATTGTATACAGTGTTGTTTAAATCAACATCATGTCTGAGGAGATGCTAGTTTGTCAGACAAAATGGTAAAAAAAAAAAGAAAAAGATTTTATATTAAGATTTGTATTTTTGATGACAGTCCACTTACAAACTGAACTGATTTTCCTGAAATTCAATGTGTTATGAGTGGACTTCATGGCTGGAGTGATGGCAAATAGGGAACACATAAAAATAAACCAGGAATTTAGGACTGATATACTTAGCAATAGTAAAACTTACGTCATAAACAGAGTCCTTCCCAGGGGAAGAGTGAGTGGCTGAATCAGTGGGGGAGTGGGAGGGCTGCACCACATCTGGCAAGTTAGTGTATCCATTATGGCTCCGCTTCTCTGGGGTCTTTTAGGTAGAAAAGAAACACACATACACACACACCTCCCTGTAATAAATAACACCAATAAGCAACTCAGATGTAGGCTAATCTCCTGTACTGATTACCAGGATACGACCTGTTTTGATTGCACACCACAGTAACCACAAAAAGTGAAGTAACAGCTGTGACCAAATTTGCATTAAAAAGTCAAGGTCTTGTTCTTTACACTGGGAGATTCAGCTAGATGTTGTGTCTTTTGTCACTGATGTGCCACTATTATTTACAGGCAACTGAAAAAAAATTTAGTTCTGTTCGGCTTTCCATCATCCATTTCTAAATGACTGCCCATAGTTAATTGACTACTCCGGGTTTTACCTGCAGTGCACAAAAAAACATCAGTGGATGCTTCATAGCCTCATATCTTTTAGCAAAAACTAAACACAAGATTTATGTTTTAATGCAACATAAAGGAAAAAAAGGGAAATAAGAGATACAGTGCTTTTTGTATTTTTTAAACTGACTGATGCCCTATGAAAAGATCTATCTACACAGCTTATAAATATTCAGATTTTTAAAACAAAATATGGAAGCCACAAAAATGTATGTCAAATGTATATGAAGTTCTCTAAAAAAGACTCCAAGGAATCCATTCTTTTCCTTAAGATAATTTACACCTTCTATCTTACACATACTCAATGGTAAATGTGACCTTCTGGCAATGATTCTGTCTAGTGAGTATCTAGTGAGTTTAGTGAGTAATATAAAAGTATGCCTGGTTTAAAGCGCTTCAAACACAGGAAGTATATTTACTGTATGTGTAAAAATAATCAAAATTCATCTTCCATGTCATGTATAATGTTTGCTGTGTTATTTATAATGTCAGACAAAATAAAATAAAAAACTCCATATCTCTCCCTGATATTCAGTAATGTAGCTGTAGTGTGTGGCACATATTTTGATGCTGACTCCACATTAAAATACACACACATATGCATAAATATAAAAAAGTTTAGCACTTCAATGAAAGTGACACTTCCCACATTCAACATATCATGAGCCACCTGCAAAATGTATGCCGTCTGTCACTGAATCATATTGCCATCCCTCAGAAAATCTCATATTTATGATTATTGTGATCCTGTGAGCTAGTCTGCAGCAGCAGCTAGCTAACATGTCCTACAGCACTACAGACTATTGATAACAAACTTGACAATGCATTGTATGTCTGGCTCTCCTCTATGATTCATTTTTTCAGAGTGTTAGTTAAACATTGTTGAACAATATTATGGACCCATTCCCCTTGTCTTGCTGCTCTGTAATATTCTTTGTCATGTAACAGACTGAATTTTCCATCAAGTCACAATGCATTTCAAGCATCATTACGTATACAGATGACTCACCCTCTGCACCAGCATTGTCTGATCCCCATACCCTCCAGCTTGCTCTCCATCTCCCCCCTCGCCTTCGTCTTCATGAACCACCATGGTGTTGACTGAATCAGTGTCTGCGTCCCTGTGACTGAAATCAAGAGGGACAAATTAATAATGGAAACAAATGAAAAGAAAGTAACACCATATTACAGGATGTATTGAAATCTTTATTTAAAAGTCAATTTCACAAATGAAAATGATTCTTTGCTTCCTAAATTGCCAGTATTCGCAGGCGACAGTATTACCGATCTGTGGGGCTTTCTTCCTCCTCTGCTCCCTCGCCACTCTCACTCTCCTCACTACTCTCACTGCTCTCAGAGGATGAGGAATAATCATTGGCCTTGACTGGTGGCCTTGGCTGTTCCTCAGCACGCTCCTTGGCAAAGAGACCATGGTCCTGCACACATATACACCACGTTTACTTCATGAATGCATTCACAAAATGTTTTAAATAATTTCAGCTATTGGAGAAAGTAGCAAGTAATACAACAGCAATATATGCAATACTAATATTAATGACAATCCAGACACAGCTGAAGGTGAGGGGTCGCGAGGAGGATGGGCTCAGAAACAGTCCCAATGTAAGTCCAGACTCAAAACTCCCAATACTCTCAGAATTCAGAGCCTGTAACCTGAGGATATTTTGGGATGTTTTTGAGCCATGGCATTATGCTGAGTGTATGATGCCCAAATGAGTAACAGAAAGAATACATACATTAAAAAGGCCTTTATGTAAAAAAAAAAAAGAAAAAAGAAAAAAAAGAAGGAATTTCATTCAAAGACAAAACATGATTTAACCAATAAATGAAGACACTACAGAGCATGCAATTCATTCTACATGAACATGTCTCTTCAGCCAATGAATGCTGATAAAAACTCATGCATGAACATTTAGTATTGCACAAAACACAAAGACTGTGATACTAACCTCCCCTATAGCTCTCTTGTAACTCTGTACATTTGAGGTCAACAAACAGGGATTTGAAAAGAGGAGAAACATGGAGGGAAACAGCAAAAGTGCAGAGTACATTATGTGTGAAGGAAAGGTTATTTGAGGAGAAGTTACTATACTACAAGTAAATTAACAGAACAGGTGCGTTATGTTAGTGTTTTGTTGTATAATTGCTTATATCTGAGCAGAATTATATATTGCATGCACTTCTTATAAGTAGGGGATACTGGAAAGACAGCCAATATAATGTCTGTTTTGAACACTTACAGCAGGGCGCCCAGGGCGGGAGGAGGTGCGAGACTCCCCTGGCTTATGCCGACTTTCGTGGGAGAGAATGGGTGAATCCATTTTGGAGGAACCTGAAAAGAACAATGTCGTATGGTGTAGTTAGATTTCTGAAACCAGGCTTACTGCAAAGACAGTCTGCAGAGAAATAGCATTGGGGAGGCAGGGACTCACTGAGGATGCGATGCCTCTCTAGAGAGCCAGTCTGGGGCAGATTGGATATGATGCTCATACTGTCTCCTCTCTCCCAGCGATCATTGCGGCTGAGATCTGGATTGCTGCAATGAGGATACAAATCACTTATCTCAAGTCGTCATTCAAACCTACCACCATTTAGTGAGCACTAATCAAACTGATCAAAGCATTTACCTGGCTCTTACTGGATGCCTTATGCCAGATGTCAGGTTAGTGTTGAGAGCTGTGGCAATTGATGCTGTCCTCTGTGGAATCTGAGGACAGCAACATCATAGGTCGTACATTTACCAGTATTTTGCAAAAACCCTAAAACCACTCTTAATAAACAACAGCAATTTCCTACAAGCCTGTTGTCAGACGGACCAATCAGCCGAGGCTGCACTGACAATTTTATCGCATAAATTACCTTTGAGATTATTCACATAAATGTAATGGTCAACTGGTCAAAAGTTTTTCCTTGATCTCAGCATGTGAGTGCAGGGTGGGGTTTTAACCTCCACCACTAAATGGAGGTCAAAGAAGTGGACAGAAAAACAGCTATTGTGTGACTTTCTATTTTACTGAAAAAGGAGTGATTTCATTGTCAGTTTACTAACTGTAGTCCAGCTAACATTATATTTTTTAACAAGGCTCCCACATCTATATATAAATAAGGGTTGCACACCTGCTCTGAGTCAAAACCAGCTTCTAGATCTTACTTTGGGTGGGAGTTCCACATCTGGCAGGCGGATCCAGGGGCCGCGATCTTCTCTGATTTGGTGTGCCTGTGGTGCGGGGGTTTCAGAAGTGGGGTCTGAGTTTTGACGCACCAGCTCTCTAGAGTGGATGGGGCGGGGGGTGGGGGTGAGGGAGGGATCCTGGGTGGGGAAGGCGGACATGGTCTTAGTGGGCTGGTCACAGAGGGACTGGGAGCGAGGGACAGGGGCAGCATAAGGCTTCAGAGGAACCAAGTGAGCCATCTGGAACTGCACAGGGCAGGAGCAGGAGGAGCAGGAGGAGGAGCAGCAGCAGCAGCAGCAGCAGCAGCACACCAGGAGGGAAGGACAGCCGAGCGGAAGAAAGAACACACAAGACAGTTGGAGAAGGAGGCCGAAGCGAAGGAAAAATGCAAGGTTTTGTTTGTATTCCAAGGTGAATGTTTTTAACACGTAGGAACCAAGTGATGGGTGGAGAGGGAAGAGAGGGTATAAAAGAAGGTATAAATAAGGTAACAGGGACAATAAACGGTAAAGCAGCAAAGAATTAAGGGGCAGAAAGGCAAAAGCTGTTGTATCTTCCATTGTTTTTCCAGGTTTTAATCAACTGAATTTTAAACACCCACCTTGCCCTGTCCTCCTTGGGGTTCTACAGGCCTCTGCATTGGTGGGGTCTGAGCAGACTGGACCACTCCTGACTGGCTGATTGAGTCAGAGCGTGACTGGATAGCAGTGTCAGAGACAGTGGTGCAGATTTTGGGTGAGCCCTGTCTGTTGAGTTTACTCCTCTCCTCCACCTGAAATATGGACAACAGTGAAATGATCCACTCTGCAGGCCAGTGTACAGCAGTTTGACTGTGGTGTATAATGCTGTAAATGTAGGTAACATTTCTACCTCACGAGCCCAAGTAGGTTTGTTGTTGGGCTCCAGGTTTTTGTTATAGTGGTAGAGCTGGGGCTTCTTCTCTTGCTGCTGTTGTTGCAGAGACACCAGGTAGGCATGCTCCTGCTGCAGCTGCCTCTGTAGCCTCTCTGACTGACGCTGTTCCTCCAGCTGCTTGCGCTTATACTCCTGACCAAAGAAACACACTGCAGTCAAGATGTTGCTTGCCTCAGACTGGACACAGACAGCTCAGGCATGTCATAAGTGAACCAACACATCTGCTAACAGCAAGTCTGCATTCACTTTAAACTACAGGCAGATGTTTGCATATTTAGCTGACCACCACTTATTTCCTCTACTGAGACAATAAATGTTTGTGGTAGACTTTATCATCTCTAACTTTGTACTCCTTTTTTTTTAGTACAGCAGTAAATTACCAACCTATATCAAAAGAATATTGATTGTGTCTGTAACTAAACCTTTTTGTGCAGTTTCTTAAATAGACAGTGTAAAAGTGAGTCAGTTGATTTATTGGTTTTTCATTGTGAGTAGTAGGCTCTGGCCAAGCCTTTTGATGGCCACTGTGTTGTTGAGGAAAGAAGAAATAAAAGAAAAATGAAAAGAGTTTTAATCATGAATCGAAGTCATTTTGTTTCTTACAACAGCAGAGATTTGTTTTCCATTCTCAAGCAGTAAAGGCTACTGGACCTTCTGAATATCCCACATTAAGTTATATTTGATAAACAATTAATCAAAATTAACTCCCCCATAAAGTTAAATACTTGTCATTTGCTCTTCTTGAATTGCTGCTTAAATTGCCACAAAGCGCTAGATTTACAAGTCAGTGAGAAAAATGAGTTTGGTCTCCAGTAAGGATGTCTCACTCAGGTGCTTCCCTGTGAGGGAGAGGACATGATTCCCTGTGAGGGAGGGGAGGTAGCCCAACGACCCAATGGAGAGATTACTGAATGTGTGAATATAGATTTAGACCAATGAATGTTATTAAGTAATAAATTGTGTCTGACTTTGTGGTTTCTTTAGTTAGCCACCAAAGCCATTCAGCAGTTCTTCTTTATTTATGCATTTTGTTAGATTTCTTCAGATTTTTTTGGTAGTGGTTTAGTTCTATTTTGTTCACATTTTCTTTGACTTCTATTATCTTCATTACATCTCTACAGGACAGCACTTCCTCTCAAACAGCTGCAGGTAGTGAAGTTTTCATTAACATATTTAAGTTGCAGGAGTACATTTAAGACTTGCAAATGGAATTAATCAAATTCTGATTCCGATGAGTTATTTCAGGATGTCTCTGACAGTCAGAATTCATTGCTTTACTGCTGTTCTTTTTGCAATTACTGTGCATGGGAAAAAAAGATATTTGGGACAGTGTATATTATGTGTCCGGCAGTTCAAAATGTGCCCATTATACCAAATTTGCATCACAGCACTGTTCCTTCACTGAACCCCCAAAACTGCTCCAGGGGCACTGGCCTGTGTCTGACCCTGTGTTCTGGTCGCTATTAAGGCATAGATATACACAGGAATTATGTGAATGTGTGACCTAGGAGAGATCTGTGAAATCTCAAATGCCTCACACAGTAGTGAGGATTTGGGTTCTTTTTCCCTCCAAAAAACAGGAACAAAGAGCTCAATCCAAATGACAGCAACTCCTACGTTCCACAGGAGATAGCTCAAACAAAGATGTCAGGAGTGTGTTAATTCTTTCCCTCAATCTAAGCAAGATACACTTCCACTGATACACCAAAAGTTGCCTAAAACTGGCCTAAAAATCTAGGTCAGTGCATGCTTTTTCAAGACATGCAATACTGTGGGAGCTGCATCCATACTTTTTAACATGTAGAGCATATCTATATCAGGGTGCTTCAAATTCCTGAACCAGAACCTCCTTATTTTGTTACAAATACAGCTGTTAAAATCTGACCGTAAAAATAGTCATATCAGCTGCCTTTTAGTCCACCTAAAAGAATTCAAAGGAAACACAAGCAGAGATATAACAATGCAATGTTTGTTTTGAGAAAAAAACAAACAAGCCACATTGTTGTGAGGACAGATATAGTATATTTCAGTGGTGGTCAATAAATCTCCTTTATTTATGAAGTATTATAACTGAGAGGAGGACATGAACATGGAAACATGGGAACCTCTGCAGTCAAATCAAGAACTGATAAAGAAGGTGAGGACTAGTTACCATAAGCAATGCCTGCTCCTGAAGCAACTGCTGCTGAAGGATTTCTAACTGCCGCTGTTCCTCTTCTAATTTATGTCTGATAAACTCCTAAGGACAGGTAAGACAGCAGGAATGACAGACATTAAGGTGGAAAAAGAGAAATGAAAGTAAACAGGGGAGGGGTAGAAGATAGAGGCATATAACAGTTACGTAATGTCGTTTCAGCAAACAACAGAAACCATGTGTTGTACTAATAAAATATCAAGTCAGAAATCAAAAAGCAGTGACAAAGCACACTGTCCCTGTTTAGAAGTTGTAGACACAAATAAAAGTTAGCATTAACAACAATACATCACTCTCATAACTATATTGAGATTGTGACCAATTACTAGATAAATAACAGAAATATTTACCAGAATATTATCATGCTAACTATACAATGTTATACTAACATAAAATCTGTATTTGGCACTACAAGGTGATGGTGCTATGATGCCAGACTCTTGTGTTACTGAGGGTATACTGGAAACAGAGCATAAGAGACGCAGAGAGCTCACCCACAGAAAAACTCATCTCTGAATAAAAACACTAATTTAGACCCTTGCTGCTATGGCAACCTACTCATGGAATTTCACCACCAGAGCAACTTGTACAGTGTTGCCGATGGACACACCCACACTTCACCCTGATTGGCTGATTACAGCCCCATGTCTCCTGTGGTTGGTTACCTGCTCCCTCTCAGCCAACCTTCTATCTTCCTCCCGTCTCATATCGTCAAGTCTCCGGTGGGGACCTTTTTCTTGCTGCCTCACCATCTCTCGCTCTTTTCTCTGTTGCTGGGAGAGAAGGATGACAAGAAAAAGAGAAATGAGCATAGTGGCTATTTTTTCACAGGGGAATTTATAATGGATAGCCTGCTTATGAAAAAACACTCCCTTGTTTTTTGTGCAAAGAGCTAGAAAAAAGAAATGAAGGGAGCGGGAGTGCAGGGCACAGAATAGAGGTTGTGAGTCATTCTCACTCACACAGACCTATTGCACCCTAATCATCTTCTGGGCATGCTGCTTTAAACTCAAACTGACCAGTTATTCAACTGTGGCAGTTTTTACTTGCTTTTTTGAGGGGCATTAGAACAAGAATTGTTCTTTGTGGTGAAATGAAAACCTCCCACTTCGTAGTGACACAAAACACTCGCTTGTCTACATAGTTGTTGTTGGCACTTCACTGTTGAGCGGAAGAGCCAAATAAGATAGAGGAGGAGGAGGAGGTGGAGGTAGATTAGGGGAGTGCTACCTTACTGCAGCAAATTACCTCACAAATACTACACAATACTTTTTGGCAATATGAGTGAAATTATATGTGCCTCATTCAAATCCCAAATAACTCCTGAAACCTTTCAAAGCTTCACAGCGGCAGAATAAACACAGAATATAAATCAAACTTTAATTGTGTTGTGCTGCTGTTGCATCAGTGTTTGCCTCCAAGTCCTATCTGTTACTCAATGACAAATCACAATCTAACACAAAAGAGGTATGGTTTAAGTTTCCTCTATTTGTTTGATGCATGTGATAACATGATACATAAAATGACCATGATCATCTGACTGCACCAGCCATCAATAAACTAATTGCTAGTAATGGCTACAGACTGTATAGCAAAGCTTTCCACAAGGCTTTTTTTCCTGACAATTTGTCATTATGATGACATTTTGTCTACTTAGTATTAGATAAAGCTACAAATGTCTGATGGGCAGAGAAGATGACAGAAGATGTTGGTACACATTCATTGGATGTGAAATATTTACAAGCATATATTTATGACTTTATGTCAGCTGCTACAATAATTCATATGTGCGAGCATTTTAATAAACATGGGGAATTTGTTTTATTCCATACAGTGCTGTACAAACACTGTTAACAGCCTTATATACACTGCGCAAACCAACATGTAGAGTAAATGATTGTTTTGGGCACAAAATTTGTGGGTGATGGAAATAAAATATAATATAAATTGATAAGATGATGTGTTCAGATCTGGGATGGCCAACATGTAATCATTATTGTTTCTGTCTAATTTGTATCTATCTGTATTTCTTGGTTACACAGTTTACTACATCTACACACAGACTGTAAAAATAGCATTCATATACCGCAGTTACAATGAATTATATTAGTCAAATTAACAAATGCAGCCTCCAGGGTTGTTTCAAAATGTTTCTGTGTTTTCTGGCCTCATTACAGGCAGATTAGTGGCTTAATGAAGAGAAAGCCTGAATCTTGAGCCACTAACACAACTCACAAATCTCCATACTCCTTAAGGGTGAAGCTAATTTTTCAGCAGTTTCAGTGCACTCCACAAACTTCATACTCCCAAAACATCTCCTTCAAGGCTACAAAAACATCTCACTCTTGGCACATGTTTACAGAATTAATAATTAATTATTAATAATTCATGTTGGTAAGGAGCAGGACAGTCTTTCACTTTAAATAATCTCACTCTATTCCCCACTATTTCAACTGTTTATATACCTATGAATGTTAGTGAGCAAAATGTTGAAAAGGTACTGTTGCCACTGAAGGTTACCTGAGCTTTTATTTAGTACTTGCAATTAGTTATTTAGTCACGGAGACTCTGAGTTAGGGACAGAAAAATCCTGATGGACAGGTTAAGTGTGCTGGTGTGTTTTACATGTAATGCATAGCCCTCATTTCCAAATTTCAAAATCTAATAATTTCAAACATTGTTACTCTTGCATGTTCCTTTATTTATTACTAATTCTCATAGTGTATACATTCAGCATATTACATAACACAAGTTTAGAGGGCCCACAATAAAAAGTAAATCCTAAATACTGTGCCCTTATGAAAAAAGCCAACAATGGCAAACCAAATACTGACATGATGATTGGAGCCTTGAATAAATGCAGAGAAAAATGGAACAGCAAGTAGTTAAGTGTCTCAAGGATAAGGATAAGAGCAGACACATTACTATTGCTTTGCTCTGATATATTTTCATCACCACCATTGACTTTATGCAGCATTTTATTTTGCAGATACCGGACCTCAAATCTCAGTATTGGGTGCAATTTTTCAAAACTTGGTAGAAAGAATTTTACAATAAATGCAAGAAAAATACCATAGGCTTCATTCAAGAAATAGATTGACATTTTGGGAAACACATTTATTTGCTTTTGTGTCAAGAGTTGGATGAAAAGATTGATACCAGTCTCATGTCTGTGTGTTAAGTATGACGTAAGAGCCAGGAAGAAATTAGCTTAGCTAGCATAAAGACTAGATGCAGAAGGAAACAGTTACCTTGGCTATCTATTAAGATAAAAAAAAATAAAACTAGCAGCACCTAAAAAGCTCACTGATTAGCATGTTGGAAGGTTTTGTGTTCTAACTTTTTCTCTCAAGGTACAGTGGTTGCCAAGACATAGTTATAAGAGAAGCTTTAGAGGTGCTAGAAGGCACGTTTTGTAACTTTGGATAGTGCCATGCCTTCTGTCCTTATGCTAAGCCTAGCTAATCACCTCCTGGCTCTAGCTTTATATTTAGCATACAGATATGAGAGGGGTATCATTCTAATTCTCAGGAAGAAAATGAATAAGCACATTTCTCATAATGTCAAACTATTCCTTTCAAAAGGATCGATTCCCTGGTGGACTATACCTCTTCAAGTCTGCGTCGCTGTTCCTTCTGCTCTTCAATGCGTTTCTGTCGGTCATGCAACAGTTGCCTCTTGTGTTCCTCAGGGTCCCGGCGCTGAGCAGCCAGTTGGGCCTGCTGCCTCTTATGAGCCTCCGAGCGCTCTTTGTTCTCCTGCTGCAGACGCTGGAAGTCCCGTCTAAGGGTGGACTCACCGGGCACATTGAGGATTGAACTGATGACAAAAATTGAAGATACGAAGGAAAGGATTTTGGGGGCCATCGTTCACACAAAGAACACAAGTCAAGAATTCAAAGTACTTAGCCACAGATGATAAACTGCAATTACCTTGACTCTCTGTCATCTCCACGATTTTCATCCTCTTCATCACTACCACTATACTCATACTCTGTCTCTTCTATTAAGGAAAATTAGAATAAAGAGAAGTCAGAACAAAATCATGAATAACCACTGTGACATAATAATCTAACCTAATTTTAGTGGATCAGACCATGTTGCCTGTGTTATATGCATTTAAGCCCTTTCCCTGTGATTTGCCTACCTTTTTCTCCCCTTTTCTTGCGTGTACGGTCAATGTGGTCTTTCAGCTGAATTCGGACCTGGCGCTCAGTGGGCTGGTCCCTGATGAAGGAGTGCTTGAGCAGCTGTTCTGTGGACGGTCGGCTGGGATAGGTCTTCACGAGACAGCCCTCTATAAAGTCAATGAATTTCTTGGACCTGGGAGGGGCAGGTTAGAGGATGATAAACTGGTGAGGGAGAGTGGGAGGGAGGGAAAAACATGGAGCAGCTGGGCTGGTATTGCCATGAATCCTGATCCAACAATAATCAGAAATATTCAAGTCAACAGATATGTCTTTAGTCTTTTTCACATGTCCAGCATGTCCACACTGAGAAAAAAAAAATCACAATATATAGCAATATCCTTACAGAAATATTTTGACTAATAGGGCAGATAGCTAGTAGCTGTGATCAGTCGACAGAATGAACAGTCAATTAACAATCTGAGAACCATTAGTACTTTACCACCAGCTGTTACTTTTTCTCTGAAACTGCAACTAAAATGTGAGCCCAACAATGTAATGTTCAAAGATGGTAACCAAGAGTTGTTAAATTCATTGTATTCAAGTGTTCGTGTTATTGTGTTGATCCGTTGCATATGATTTTATATAATTGTTGATTTTGAGTCACACAATACTGACTGACAGCTTTTTTATGATGAGAATAAGATGATAAAACTTGCAGATAAAGCATTGTATTCTGAATGCTGTAGGACCATAAACTCTACTATTTCATTAATGAGTAGTAGGAAAAGTAATAGGGACAAAAAAGAGGGTAGGAGGAAGAACATGACAAATTCATTTAAAAGCCTTCAACTTCATGTCTTGCTCACAATAATATATGTTTCAATACCGGGACAAAGTATATCTCACATTTTGCAATATGAGTGAGGGACAGCCATCACCAATGTCTTTCCCAATCCAGGGACAAATGTACCCAGAGTAACCTGAGGCACAACAACATCTGCTTTGAGAAATCACAAATTTTCCTGTAACTTTCCATCGCTTCTTGTACAATCAGGATTCTTTCCATTCAGTGCTGTTCTCATTAAGTGTGTTTTACATGTATCTATGCTCTGCAGTAACCTGGTTTCTAACACATCAAATAAGCAGATGTCCATTACTAAAATGCGTATAAATATGCTCTCCTGCCATGGCTGGATCTTTTGCACTTTGGCATATCAAACTAATTACTGCAGAATTTGCTACTAATACAACTGGATAATTTTTTTAATATTTAACAGAGATTTACACTATTCAATTTAGAGAGGGGCAGTCTTTTTCCATTTTATCTGATGCTCCACATAGAAATGTTTCCATGTAATTTGATAGGGAAAAACACTGGAACAGACTGTATCTACCACATAATCTACTGCACAGTACCAGACAGTGAGAAGTATACATTCTTCCATTTAAAAAAAAAAAAAATGTTTTGGGCAACTTTCTCTTCAATTTGCCCTTAGAAACATGTTAAGGTTTTGAAGCTTTTACAGATTTAACATGATGGCCTGGTAAGTGTCTGGGATATGACAGGAAATAAGACAAAACACAGCAGGGTGGTTGATAACTCACCACTTTTTGGATTTAAGTTTCGGAGGGGGATTCCTCGGTATCAGGAAGAGGGCTCTCATTGGGTGCATGTCACACAAGGCTACAGAAATAAAGGAGATGATGAGAGTGGTTAGGTATTACTAAATCCTCCTACCCATGCTGAGCGCTATAGTACAAAGAAGGAAAAAGGGACATCAGAATAAATTTTATGTTAGGCAGACATCATATATTCCCACACATTGTAGTTTGTAAATAATGCTAGCTACCATTACACATATTCTTTGTATCCTCAAACATGGTTGCAGCTGCTGTTATCCAATCTTTCCTGGGGCCTCAGGCTTTGTTACATTGAATGTAAGAGCAAGGTCTGTGAGTCATTGTGTTCCCAGCGTAGGTAGGTAGATAAACCTGACTGGTTAGCTTTAGAGTTTCACAGTAAATAGGCTTTTGTAACGCAGTTTTTGGACATATGCAATGTGACTGAAACAGCCAAAGCCACATTAAAACAGAGGGATCACAGTTATACTGATAATGTACACATATATGCTATATATAACATAGATGGATACATTACACATAGTAATAATGCTCGAGCAAAGTTAGTATTTATTCAGTAAGCTTACATTTAAATTTATTTTAATTTGGATCACCCACTGACAGGATACTGGCAAATTTGTAAACGTCTCGTTGGTGTAAATGATCAAGTACACAGGGTTACAAACTGCCATCCCGTTTCGTGCTTTATTAATTATCTGAGGTCAACTTGTTCCGTTTGTTTAGGCTTTTAGCTGATCAATTGTACAAACAGTCCTAAAGCTCTGTATTTAAATTACTACCTTTTATTCACTGACACTCTTGCTTTTGTTTGTCTGTGCACCTTAGGTGAACAAAAAAAAAGGTATGAACAGTGTCTGCTAACACAAGTAAACAGAATGCAAATGAACAAAATACTGTGTGAGTGTGTGAGATTCTTAATATTTTTGTGCATAAGAATGTAATGTACCAAAAATAAAAAGGTTACTGTTCTTCAACACTTTTGATTACGGTCATAACCCTGGCCATCTTTGAAAGGTAACTCTTTAAATTTTAAAGTTCACAAACATGGTAGAAATTTACATTCTTTTGCCTCTGGGGCATAAAAAAGGGACTATAAGGCCTGAAGTAGTAGCTTTTTTGTGGAAAACACGCAGGAGCAATAGCAACAAGTCTGAACCAATTCTATGTCACAGCTGCTGCAGTGATATGGGGATCCTAAAATGCTTTGCACAGATAGAATCAGCAGACTTAGCACTTCCAAATAATGTATCATTTGTCAAGGTTGTGTGAAGATTGAGTCGAGTAGACCAAAACATGCCTGATGTAGAGCTGCCAAGGCCAATGCATCACATGGGTGGAAAAAAGTATTTTAAAAAGGTATACATGTTGAAAAACAAGCTAAAAGCAAGCATATAATGCAACCACAAATGATAGGTGGTTATCAGTAGGAAATATGAGGGAGCATATATTTTATAGTCTCAAACAACAACAACAACAACAGTGCGGCCCTCCCCTCTGGTCTAATTCCGCCATTTTGAAAATGGTGAAACAAAAAATGTTCAACATTTCCTGAAAACAGAAAAAAAAAAGAGTAATCTAATGCATCTCAAAGAAACAGTGACACACATCACATACATTTTGAAAAACAACTAATGATGTTTTTTATCACTAACTAAAGACCTAAAATAATCAATTATCAATGTATTAATATGATAATGTGGTTAATGACAAATACCCACAGGTATCCAAGTACAGTGTGGTGTCTTGACATTGCTTGTTTTGTTAAACAAAAGGTTTAGCAAAACATAAAGTCATACTTTCATAATGGATTCAAACAGAGAAATTAACTGATTGATTTCATCCATTACCTGCAGTTGCTCAACTAATCTATTAACTGACAATGGTTTCAGAGACTAGACTGGGTAAGGACAACAGTAAATCACAACTTGATAGTTGGCCTGTATGCCTTATGTCACTGCAGTTAAACTTTAACCTTAAAGATCCTGTCCAGACATGTTTTAAAACATAAAAATACTTTACTTGGAGTAATGATTTCTGTCTCATATTTTTTTTTTTTAAACAATAAAAAAAAATAAAAAATTTCAATTATCCTGTTAAGAATTCTTAAAATTACATCTGCTCCCCTTCAACAATTCAAAGCTCATAAAACAGTGCTCCACATATTACAAGTGTTTTTTCTAATACTACTTTAATGGTCACTGTAGTACTAATTAAGTAAGAGAGTTGTTTAATCCTTGCTGTAGGCAGGGTTATGACAATTGCATTATAACCACCACCAACTAGACAAATGTTTATTTTACATTTTAGCTGCTTCTCTTAAGTGAGATTTTCTTTGCTTCTCAGTCAGGTTTGATACCAAATCTCCAGGCAGACACATCTCCCCACTAAGCAGAACAGAGAGATCTGTGCAATCAGCCTCCACAGGCCAACTGCCAGCTCACGACTACACTACCTTGATTACAGTGAGTCAGCTGTCCATCTGAAGACACAGACAACAAGGCCACATATGCAAGACAGACTCATTCATGAGGTCTTTTAGAATGGGCTTTGAGATGATGAAAAATTATCTGTTGCTGAGTACATAGAAATGCATGATTCAGCCAAGAACAGGTAAAATAGGTGTGCAACTGAGTGTGTACACTTACGAGGTGCTCCCTCTGCCATCTCAATAGCTGTGATCCCCAAGGACCAGATATCACTCTGCAAAATACACAAGGGACCAGGTCAGTCTCTATCTTTCATTTGTTCTTACCACAAAGTACTCACACACACGTATACAGTGCTGCTGTTACCCTGTAGTCATAGGTGGAGTCAGGGTTCTCATCACAGGCAATGACCTCAGGTGCCATCCAGTATGGTGTGCCAATGAAGGTGTTCCTACGCCCAACGGTCCTGTCCAACTGAGCACTGACCCCAAAATCAACTGAATGTGGACAAAGGAATCACAGGAGGAAAGAATGCGAGACAATGAGAGATACTACTGTACTTTTGCAATACAATGGCCAACAACATTCAAGTGTTCAACATACCAAGTTTGACCTCTGCATTCTCTGTTAGCAGCACATTCTGGCCCTTGATGTCTCTGTGGATGACTTTATGGGCGTGGAGGTGAGAAAGGCCCTGAGCACAGGCAAAGAAGTCAGAAATGGTCAGTAAGGCATGACCTCTGCCACAGACTTATTTTTACTGGTGTAACCGCAGTTTCTCACCCTTAGGATCTCTCTGCAGATGTAAGCAATCCAGTCCTCCTTTAGAGAGCTGCCCTTAGTGTTTTTAACCAGGTCGGTCACTGATCCTGCCCCACAAAACTCCATCACCAGCTACATAAAGACAAATACAGACTTAGTGAGCACAATGAAAGAGGCATGCTGCGATATAATCATCAGGCCAGGTACAAGGGTAGACAGACCCAGAGTTGGTCATCGTGCCCTGGTGGACTCTTCTTAACAAAGGCACCGTAGTACGTGGCTATGTTGCGGTGGTGGCTGTATTTTTTCAGCATGTTGATTTCTGCTTTGATCTCCTCTTCCTCCTCCTCCGTAACATCCATCACCTTGATGGCAGCCAGCTGGCCCGTCTTCACGTGACGGCCCTGTTTCAAGAGTAAGTTGGATCATCATAACAGTGGTCAGTAAAGTTCCAAATAAACCTGAGACTCATTAACCTGGCCCATTAAGTATAGCCAATTTGCTTCTTCACATCATTTTGCTGTTCTTATTTTACATTTTCTTCTACTGGAGTAGCTTATCTTTCTTTCACAATCTACTGATATAGCAGTACGCTAAATCAGAATCAGAGGAAAAAAATGCACAAAAATTTAACAAAGAACAGGCACTGGAGTGATCCTTTATAGCCGCACTTCAGCCTGCTCAGCTTAATATTCAACAACTTAAGTGTTGAATGCTTCAGCACATTATTCAGATGTGATATAGGCATCATGTCTCACCTTGTACACCTGCCCATATGTCCCATTGCCGACAACCTCAACCAGCTCAAAGATTCCTGCTGGATCCTACGGGAGATACGGGCAGATCCATAAGTCATACAACAAGCTGACAGCAGGGTCAGACAGTAACTGTTCAATCTGGCTTCAGTTATGTCAGAACAATGGCTGAATGAAAACAATCCTAAATACAAAACATAGTTAAAAGTTCTGCTGAGGATACAAAATAAAAGCAATTAGATCATTTTAATTTCACATAACAAAAACCTTGAAAATCTTTGGTTTAGTAGATACAGTACTTCATCAGAATCATGTCAGTTGCATTTAGAATTATTTTGCTGTGCAACACAAGCTGTGTACCTCTATTTAAGTGAGCATAGCTTCAAACTTTATACACGCACAAAAAAAAAAACAAAAAAAAAAAACACACACACAGGCCTCTACAGAGGAACAGAAATTATATCTAAAAAAACAAACAAGTAAAAGCAATCCAGATGCTTTCTACTGTGTACACTTAAGCCAATTTAAATCCAATATTACAATTCAATATTTCCATACAAATCATGTGAACTCAATCTTCCCTGCCACCCACTCACCACCCACCCACAAGACTTAACATAGAGGGAAACAGACAAGCAGAGATACTAAATATTGATACTAGATTAGATATACAAAGATGGATTCTTATAAAATGGACATGGCTTGTGACCTTATCTTTATTTGTTCATTTTAAGTTTCAATGGAGTGAACACATATTTTGCCGACACAAATAATGAGTAGGTTGCTTTGACTTAATTATGCAATCCCCTCCCCCAAGAGACAAGGGAAAATGACAAGCAGTTCCACTTTCATGCAATTTCAATATGGCTTTAAGAAGATGTGTGGGTGGTAGGACTGCTGCTTTGGGTTTAGAATGTACAGCATGACCTATCCTGCTTTCATCTGTTTCCAATGATGGGTTTTTTGCCTTCAACATGGGAGGGGAAACATTCCACTGAGACAGGGAACATTTATGGGAAAAATAACATATACACTTTAGATTAGGCAGTAAAATTGGGAAATGACCACATATTCAATGCAAATGCACATTGCTCGTTTGATGACACATTGGCCTGATTTTGAAGCATGTTATGCACAAGAACACATAAGATGTGGAACCGTGACGTAAAAGTAGACGGCAAGGGAATGATGGTATGGTATAGAAGAGAATAATGTAATGATAGAGTGGGCAGCAAGGCAGAGGCGGTAGCTTCACCTACGTCCAGCACAAAGAGTGGGATGAGAGGAATGAAGTGATAGAAGGGGAAGGGTACAGTTATGTTCGAGGAGTAGCACCATCAGCACACGCAATCAAACAAATTGTCAGCAATGATTGCAAAAAAGACAAGGAAGCAATAAAACTACAGGAAATCTACAGTCAGTCTTCTTAAATCAAAAAAATGACAGCTCTGATACTTCTTGTGGATATCATGCTGCCATGTTAATGTGTAAACTCAACATACTGGTGAGCCTCAGGGAACAATGCAATAAATTTTTCTTAATGTCAAGCTGCACTCAGTCTCTTGTTGAAAGAACAACCTCATTTCAGACTCTGGTTATGGTCCATGGGGAAGTTGACCACACATTTCCTGCAGTGGTGTCAAAAAAAAAAAAAAAAGAAGCCTGTCTTATCTCTGGTTATACAGCTGCACCTACTGTCAAAATCACAATCCAAACTTGATTTATTGTTGTGACTCAAACTCACTCGCATTAGCCGAAAATCAACTTTCTAGTTGACCTTAAGTGTTTTCAAATGGCTTCCTGAATACTTGCAGTATACTCCATACTGCAGTACAATTCAAAGTCTTTTACTAAAAATAAAGTCTAATGGAATGCCTTTTTTCAAATTCAACAAACAAATCTCAACAGAATCTCAAATTCTCAGCAACCTCAGATAATTTGCACATTACAGTTTGGGTTGAACATCACGTATTTTTTTGTAACCAATTCAGACTGCTACTGTTGGATTATATTGCGTTTTTGGGCCTGGTGTCACCTGGTAAATACTTTTAAATAGGCTACATTACATCCGTCCAAAATTGTATCATCTAAGGTCAGATAATATCCACACACATCTGGATTTTAACAGTTGGTATTTTATCTAATTGTCAATTTATTATTATTTTCTTTTAATTTAAAGTCAATTTACACAATGCCACTGTGAATTAATACTCACAAAAGTACACAAAATACACTAAAGCTGATATGGAGGAAAAGGTACTTGATATTCTTTAACTATTTACTAGAATGTAACTTTTACTGGTGTTTAAAATGAAACTTCGTAAACCAATCTTGATCAGATCTTTTCTTCGTATTAAAGCATTGATTTTTCTCACACTTCTCTGCAAGGTTATTTATGCAAAGCACAGCATGAACTGTTTTCACTGCAACAAAAAAAATCACAAGACTAAAGTTCTCATGAGTTTCATTTCTAGAGGGCTAGTATTCCTTTCTTATCAGCATCCAGTATTCTCATCACACTCTCAGAGTTTCTGTAACTGAAACTAAAAATAATTTAAATTTCAAATTAACATGGAAACAATGGAAATTCAGAAATTTTCATAGAAGAAAATTTTTCTTGTATGACCCTCTAAAAATCTGAAGGTTTAACTTATTATGCCACCTGTAATCACTACAATTGGACAGGTGGCTTTACTTTCATCCAGTGCTATTAGCATTGGAATGAGGTGTTTTTGCACAAATGACAAATTGGCTTTGCACAGTAGGCTGTCATTATGTAATGCTGAGGTCCTTCTGTACTCTCGAAATTTCTTGAAAAATACTTTGCCAGAGCCACTTGAAGTTTCCCTGATGATTTTTTGTCCTCTGGTAACACTATGGATATGATTTTCTATGAGTACATCCCTCTTTTATCTCATGCAGACACAAAGAGGCGCATGCTTACTATTTGTTCTTATGGACATATTGTTAACCAATAGACACTGATAGTGGGTGCTGAGTACATAAGAAATATATATGTCATATTTGTATAATACATTACACCAATTTATTGCGCAATACCAGGCCATATATTGCAGTGCAATTTTTCAGAAAGCCACAGAAAGTTTAGTAACTTTGGGCCAAAATAGTCACACAAAACACTATCCAAATCCTGAATTCAATGAAGTGATTGCAGTTCCATTCAAAATGATAAAATCATGCTGTCATTTTAAGATTTATTATGAATAACTTGGTCCTAAAAATGTGCTGGTATTTTGAAAACTGATATGACATTTTCAGGTGAGGCCTCATTTAAGTCGGGGAAAGAGGTAACACTAAAACAATCAAGCTAGGATTTGGATAAACTACCCCTGATCCCCTGTTAAGCCCCATAAACCTGTGAAAGCTACACCAAAGTGCTGGAGAGTTTCCTTTCAGAGGGCACAGAGATCAACCTAAATTGGCTTTTCCTCTTGGATATTTTTGGAATATCTTGTATGTTCTGATATGTTTTAAATTTAAATCATCAGCACATTTTTTTCTTATTACATAGTTTAACTCATATTCTCAGTTCTTAGAGTTTCAATGGCGCCAGATGCATATTTTCAGTTCCCTTCTGATCATTGTAAATGTAGACAGAGATTAAACAGGCAACTAAATATGAGAGTGAAAATTATGGTTATGTTTAAAACTTGTACCTCAGTGGGGGAGATGGGCTCTAACCTATCGTTTCAAAAAAAGCAAGTGATTGAAAGCATAAAATCCTTTTTTATAATGCTTATAAGAGTTTGTCTTAGGGGGATTAACTGCTGCAAAAAATTCTATATTTTTGAGGCAGTCTATTGTGATGGAGCGATCAATCAAAATAAAGTACCAGAACTGTGGTCTTACTTCACTGTACCCTTGAAAAAAGGATTTTTCATGACTGGGAATAGTGGAACAGTCAGAGGCAGGGGTGTTTTTTTCCATTTTACTTCATTTCTTGCTGGGTAGAGTGTTTCTAATCTTAGATGAGGGTTGTTTAAAAAGCCAGATAGATTTTTAAGACTGTGGCCTTCAAAATTCAAGAGAGTAGGGTTAGAGGATTCGCCACTCAACTGGTTATATGTCAGGCCCCCAAATAACAAAGAACCTTCTAAACAAAGATTTTAACAAAAGACATTGTGGTTGTGCATTGCAATCTCAGACTTTATAATTGGTAGCTGAAAATATAAAAACTGGCTCATCTTTAAATGATGAACTACTGATCATGGCTGCTGTAAATAAGAAAGAAATAACTGTATAGCAATCACAGTGTATCTGGTGTTGTGTGTTATAGCCCAGGAGACAAGAGTAGCCATGATTTTCCTATTTTTTTGTTTGTTTTTATTAACACACCAATTATGAAAACTAGTCAGGGCTGGAGAATTTTGTTCTTTAATAGGTGAAGAAATCCTAAGATATCTTTGATTGTAATATGTGATACTCAAACAGCGCAGCTGTCTATAGCAATACCAGGCCAAAGGATGTTTATTCCACCTAAACTTTGTTGCGTGGGTGTTAAATGGTCATGATTGTGCCAGACGCAAACTGACACCTCTGTTCATATGACATAACATCTAATAAGTCCGTCTGCCATAATTTACATGAAAACAGTGCAGCATACTTATCTTGCAATAACAATACTCACCCTCAGGGCTGCGAGGTCTATGTCATCCAGGCTTCTTGTGGGGGCGTTTTCAGACATAGCTGGCGAAACTTATAACGTTAGCTAACAAGTTAGCCAGTTATTTGACAAGAAGTATTTTGGAAAAAATTCGGTGGCTGCTTAGACAAGCTTGAAAGGGGTTGTCTTTCAAGATAAAATATTGCAAACGGGCTACCAAATATGCCGAAACAGTTGCGGAACAACACGGTGGCTTTTAGATTAGCAAACACATCGCAGATAGAGCTGCCACAGGCGCACCCAGCTGGCTAGCTCACGTCAACTCTAGTCGAGAGCTATAATGTTATCCGCAGTTGTTTTACAGAGATGCCGGTAACACTATCTGATCAAAGCACATTCAAGTTAAATAAGATATTTCAACAAACTGTTCACGACGCCGTTAGCCGGTCATCGGTACCGTTCCAACTACTGGCAGGTTTTCAATGCAGTGCACCTCCACTGTTGTTGAACACCTTGCTGCGTTCATTTTGACGAGACGCCGCGTCTTTGCTACTGTACAACATTCCAGCTAATGTTGTATTTGATCAAATGATACGTCTCAAGGGGAAAAACTACCAGATAGGTCTGGTGTGCCACTGGAGCATTCCTTGCTATGCTGATAGAGTATAAAATAACATTTACGGCTCAGCAACGCAATGGTTGTTTTTAAGGAGAACGCAACGTCTGATGTGATGGCGTCCGGGTCCGTCCGCACCGTACCAGAACCGACTGTCAGGCTGACATTATTAGCCTTAAAAATATGTCCTCCCGGAATATTACTATGGAATAAGTGCAGAAAATAAAGAATAATGGCCTCGTCTGAAATACGATTCTTTGCGGCAGCAGTTGTCAAACTTGTTAACACGACTTAAATATTCCTTATTTTCAGCCGGAGCGCACGGTAATCCGAATGCCGAGTCAGGTGCGCGCGATCAATCGAATGTTAACTGGGTGGCTAACGTAGCTAAGCTAGCACACTAAACAGTCTTTTCCAGAATAAACTTTCCTTCTTCATCCATTTTCTGTGTTGACAGTCGCGCCTAGCACTGCCAACCTTCCGGGGAAAACACAGGCAGACAGGCAGGCACTATGTTCTCGCCAGCCACCGTAATACTTGTCAACTGGGGCCCTCGACTCTTTCAAGTTAAGCGTTGCTTTCGTTCTCCAACGTCCAGAATTTATGAACTTGTAGTTGTAGTCCAACACTGAAAGATACGGTGCTGTTTAAAACTGAGGCTACCAGCCAAACTTGTTATATCGCCATGTTTTGCTTCCCAAGTCCTCCCTCCTCCCTCCCACTCCCTGCCTTGATGTAGTCTTGCGGGGTTGTAGTGACGATTGGCTGCACAACACACTCCTCAAGTGTTTTCTGTTCTTGGATGGCTACGGTGCTTCATCAGGGACAAATTACCTGAAAAATTACAGCGGACCTCAACCTACGCAACTGCTTCTGCCTGCACTGGGCGGCACAGCTGAGGTCATCCACTGACATACCTGTCCTCCATTGACCTTCTTGGTCACTGAACACACCCCATAATTTAGTTAAACATAAATTATACACACGGAGAACACACTGCAATATAACATTTACAGTGTGTCTTTTTATAAGTAGCAACTACAGTTACCCATTTCACATTGTTTTTTTCCTGTTCTTGGTTTTTCTTTGATGTATCTAACAGCTTTATGATTGCCATAGTTTCCATTAAGGCAGGTCTACCTTATCTTCAACTGCTCATGATGTTTTTAAATAATGCATAATTCACCTCCAAAGCTGTTCACCAAGAGTTCAAGACAGCAGTCTGGTATATCTTTTTCTTTTCTTTTTTTTAAATAACGCGAGAATTGCATGAGTGATTTATTGAAAATTTCAGCATTAACATAGAAAATGAACTTTTCTTATTCATGGCAATTTCCTGTAAAAACATGTTTGATCTCTATGTACATATATATGCTATTTGATCAAAGAATATAGATATACCAGAGGATGTTTGTGGAATGTACAGGAATAGTCATAGCAGGGGTTTACAGATTAACATCAGATGTTATTAGTAGTTTCTGGCAGTGGAATACGGTATTTAAACACATCTGGATCTGTGGTCTTTTGTGTAGGTCTTAGGGCCATTGTGAATGACATATTATATCTTTTTTTTAATGTGTCTATATATTTTCCTCCATTTATTAAAAGTACAAATATACCATGTATTTGTGCATAAAACAAGTACAAGGGAAGTTTTCCATTTTGAATTCATTAATTATTTTGGTAGACAAACATCTTTTCAATCAAAGTAAAAGCAGACATCCATTTTGAAATTCAAAAAAAAAAATTTATTGAGGAAAAACAAAAAATTAAGTAGTAAAGTTCATGGATTGGATTGAACTGGATTTAGGCAACTTAATATTTATTATCTCTCTGCCCCTGAGTGTTAGTAACTTATACATGAGTTACTTCAAGTTAATAACATAGATCTACAGATATGTATACACAAAGGTTTTCACATGGTGACTATTAGGGATAATATGCATGAGTAAAAAATAAACAGAAGTTTCTATTAGTAATATATTCATAAAAATGTATTGGTAATGCTGACTAGTGGTCAAATAAAAATAAAATTCACGATAGAAAAAGGATAAGGTCACTTCAGTATATCACAGACATTTCGGTGGAATCTAAACAAAGAATAACAGTCAAGGCAACTACTTTGTGCTTTTTAAGAGAGGAAAATATGGTGAGTGCACAGACTCATTAGTGGCTTTTTAATACCTTCCAAAGGAAAGGCTGAATAGTTCTGAAGCCAGCAGTACACCATCTCTTAACACAGATGATTTTACTGACTCTTCTGTGAAGGGTGCTTCATGTGGAGGGAGGTGGCGTTCATCTGAAACACTTGTCATGTGTCATATTCAGAAACAAGTCTGCACTGAAAGCACCTAGGTAGTGTAGCTGAGACCTGTGGGCATGTCTCAAAAGCTCATGAAGCCATCCGTCACTCCACATCCTCAGTTAAAACAGAGAACTCTTAAAATACATGGGACAGTTTTTTTCACATATTGCAAATTTTGACAGAAACACCTCCAAAAAGCTAAAAATATGTAACAGACATTCCCAGTCATAAGCTTCACATATTGTCTCTCTGCTGGTTGTTGATAAAACTTGGCCAGTTTGTGTACCATGCGTGAAAACAGGTAAAATGTTTGAAGTAAAATTTTTTACCCTGGGGTCCAATCTCTAGTTACAGTAATCTCTTTTTCCTCTATACTTAGTCAACCTCCTTTCCTGTCACCCGTGTCTTGCAGCTGAAGAAACATACTAGTTACATTATGTTACTGCATAAAATAAACCTATGTCCTGTTTTTTTTCTAAATGAGGAAGTCAGCATCTACTGTATGTTCTGTTGAATTATCAAAAAAATTATGATTTTTCCAAATCAGTCAATACAATAGGGGGATACATGTCTGCCTACATTAACCACCAATGCTACATATTTGTCCAGTGCAAGACTTTTCAGATTGTCCAATATCAAAATCTTTGCATGTTGAGACTAAAGATATGACTTGATACTGCTCTAAACATGGGAATTGCGCCATGAATGAAAGCCAAATTATGTCACTACGCAGATACAGTGTCATGGCTAAATATAATCCACCTTAACAAATGTGCAATTTGAGGAAAGTAATATAGGATAGACATACAACACACTGAATGGGACCTGACACTCACATGGAAATGGCTGAAAAATGCAATGGTCAAAAGATACATGTCTCTGCTTTACACAGCTTTCTCAAAGCCAAGTAGATAGTGGAATGTTCTAATTCATTGGTTGTCATGGTGACTCTTGAAAAAAAACATGACAATTAACAGTAAAGCACCCTTTAATTATCTTCCTTTTCGTTCCTTCTCTCAGCTTCTCCACCTATGTCAAATCCAGAACATTTTAAAATGACTTTGCTTCCAACAGATACTGTCAATCTTTTTTCAGCATATTAACTTCTATTTTCCGGTACACCATCCTGATTTAGCAAGTTATCCCTCTTATCAGCGCTCTCCCTTTTCTGTCCTATCCAGCCTTTATTTCAGCTGCGATCCAGTCATCTCTTTATATCCGTCACCATAACAACCACAAATGTTCTGACAGATTTGCTGGCACTGCAGTGAGAGGTGAAGCCTCAAAGGGAGAGAGTGAGCGCGAGAAAGAGAGAGAGAGACAGAGAGAGAGAGAGAGAGAGAGCCACCCACCCAAAATCCGTGCACCAATAAATGTACACTATGTTCCCAGATCATGTGAGATGCTTGATTTCCAATACAACCTTGCAATCCTCTCGTGACTCATACATTCATTTATGTGTTTTGCACCACTGCCAGCCCAGCAGTTCAGTTTGCACTGTAGAAGTTATGAAGCTGACAATGCCATCATGAACAAACTGGCCAATACAAACTACTGTTCTAACAGGTTATCAGTCATAGTAAAATCTACATTTCAGTGGTTATGTTCAGACTAGCCTATGGGCGGTCAAAAACACAATGTAAAAAATATCAGGAATCAACTAATACATTGTGTTAAAGTGGTGCCTTTTCCTCACTAGAGCCAGGGCTGTAACTTACTTTAGTGTATTGTGCTGAACAAACACAAGGAGAAGCATGTGGAACAGTAGCCCTTTAACTGTTATGTAGTGGTCTGATCTGGCCTGCGCTGTGGTTATGTCCACAGTCCAACAGGAGCCATGCCCTCTTTAGTGGCCAGTGGAGGCAGCAGGTTTTCCTCACACAGGAACTTCAGGGGGAAGTGGACCAGCAGCCCACGGACAGACTTCAGTTCCTCTATGGCCTGCTCAGGGTCTGTGTCGCAGAGGCGTTCCTTGCTGGAGTACTCCTTCAGCTCTCTCATGTTGTGGACAGAGTTGTGGGGCAGGCATCTGAAGACCTGTATCACAGCAGGACAAAACTAATTGAGCCTACACTGTCAGGAATAAAAAGGTCCAAAGATGATGATTTATGACACACGATATTTGGTTTAATTTGTACCTTGTCATAAATGGTGGCATTCAGTTTAGCAGATGCATCCCAGACCAAGAAGAAAAAATGGTCACTGATTGGATCATCAATATTGATACTGGGGTCTGAAGAATCTCCAACAAGAACACTGGTAAGGAAAAGAAATAGGCAGCCAAAAGTTCAGTAGGCTACATGAGCTAAATTAGTCTTGATGTTTGTCATGACAGACAGGTGGGTGATATACTCCCTTTAAAACTGTATCACATCTAGAGTTATTTCCATTCAGACCATTCTAGACCATTCATGGTCATACACACACAATGTCATTGTACTGACCCAAAACACTCTTTGCGCAGAGCAAGTGTGAGGGGTCCTGCCTGGTACTCTTCCCCTCCCATGATGGATGAGACCCTCTCTTCATCTTCCACATACACTGCCAACTCACTATCTCTATTGCCCAGCATGCTGCGGTCGTTGATGTTGGCTGATCCTGGAACACAAGTGCAGTATACAAGCTTTTACAATCAGTCCTTTCAGAGGCATCATTCTTCTCAACACATTAAGTAACTATCAGAATTTAAAAAATAAGTCTTCTGACTGAGTGCTGCTTTTAAGATTTTCACTCCTTCAGTTATTTGTAATATGTATATTCACTGTTAAGAAATCGATTTGAAATTGATAAAATTTTTTTAAAAAAGTGAAGAACCAAAAGCTGACAAATTATGGGGTTTGCTTAAGAAATTCAACTTTGGCAAACAAAACAGAGATTTAAGTCTCTTGATATGAGTTTTATATTTTGACTCTAGTTTTACATGATTCAGTTTGTGGTGTAAAGTTATAATCCTTAAGATTTCAGTCCTTGCAGCATTTTTGATTTTTTCACAGAGTTTGCTAATTTGGTGACAAACACATTGGTGTTTCGACGGTTGATGTGAACAGATGTTTGGTTTGAATTAGCAGTAACTTGATACAGCTCCAGCACAGTGTTAAGAGAGTGAGCAGCAACAGTGAGATGAAATTACAAACGGTAACGCTGGATTACATGTGTGCATTGTTTGTAGGGAATCCCTCGTGAGTGTGAATGCAATTTGAATCCAGTGTGGGAATGATGGATCCTACCACCAAGAATGAAACTACTATATAGTGTAATAATTACAGAATGTAGATAAATTGAATGATTACTGGCAAAGCAATTATAAGCAGTGTCAAAAATGGGTTTGATTTAATGAAAAATGTAATGTTTCTAACTTTAAAGCATCTGAAACAATTAAATTAATTTCAAAATAAGATCCTTACTATTTGTGCAGCTTTTTAATACACGTACTGTAAATCATCCTTCATTACTTGGATCTTGCTATTCCCTGGCCACTGTGCTTTAGAACACCCTACTTAAGTAGCTTACACTTCCATTACACTTTTCATCCTCATTATTCAGTCTTATAATTAACTGTACATACATCTGTTTACCTGCATTTTTTTATTTTACCAGTCATATTTGCCATTTTCAAAAAAGATGCCATGAAACTAAAGCTAAAACATATTGATTTACTCACACTTTAGCTTCGTCACTACATTGAAAGTCACGAATACATTCAAATACAGCTCAGTTTCAAGTTCAAAATGATCTCACTGTCTTTGATTGAGCGACTCACCAATGATATAGCAGCGATCATCAGCAATGAGGGTCTTGCTGTGAACATAGATTAGCTCTGTGATGAGTGACTGGGAGAGCTGGGAATGTGTTCTGAGGCCACAGAGTGTGATGTACTCTGTCCACTTGTCTTCAACTGGGGAACAAAGCAAAGTGATTACTTACAAGAGATAATATAAAAATACAGTGAAAATGTATGAAGAAACTCATATAGACATATGGACTTAGATGTGAAAAGAAGATGAAGTCAAGGATTAAAATGGAGACTGGTAGGCAGATACCTAGCATAAGCAGCTTCAGTTTAAAGGAACAACATGAGGGGAAAGAAAGAGACCCATGTTAGAGAGGAAACAGGCGGCATTTTGTGATGGGAGGTGCATTTTTGAATTGAAGTGAGAGCAGGTAAGTTACCAGAAACTCACCTTCACTAAGCCTTGACAGGATGGAGTGTTCCCCTCGGCACATGGTCCTAGAGCATTAAAATTGTATTACAATTAAATGACTAACACAATATAGGACAATAATATAACAATAAATCATGACAAATAATAGAACAATAGTTCACATTCACAACAGTCTTCAAAATCTGATGAATGGTAGTCAAAGGAATGGGACATTTTCTAATTTCAAACTTTCAATTTGAGTAAACCCTCTACTTTTGTGTTTAGATGTGCAGAGTACACTCAATTGACATTTTATCGGGTACAGCTTGTTAAAACTAATGCAGTCTAATACAGCAGTCCTGCAATAAATCCTCCTTCACAAAGGTTTATAATGTTCAGTTTTTGTTGAAGCTGTTTCAGAGGCATAGTTATGAAAAGATCTTGAGGACATGGAACCTGTAATCCCCATCATTTTACCATAAATGAGAAAAATTCATATCAACTACAACTGATTGGAAACGTCTCAGAGTCCAAGTCTGGTTTGTGGGCTAAGTGCAGAGTGATAACGCTCTCACCTGTAAGTGAAGTGCAGAATGGCTTGGATGGCATTTCCACCACCTGAACTGATGTCTCCCTCAAATCCAGGAAGCAGAGGAATCACCACAAACACTCTGTACTTCTTCTGCTCTCTGCAGTGAGACACAATGTCAACATGTACACTGTATACAAGTATACTATTTAAACATTAGTAGAAACTGACACACTCACTCACATCTCTATTTTATGATTTGATTCACTCACTGTTCCACAAATTAGTTTCAATCTTTTCCGTCAAACGGGTAAACACTGAAGCACTCTTTGCTGTGTTTAGTTTAACATGTCTTAATCGACCTTGAGCACAGATTTCCTGAAAAGGTGCTTTGTGACTTCAAATGCTCAAGAATGTGTGTCTAAAAGAGAAAAAAAAAGAATGAAGCACCACAAAAATCTGGCTAGTACACTCCAACCAGACCTGTGGGCACGCAGGATTCGCTTCACGATTGCATCGCCGATCCCATTATGGACAGTTTTCCCGTCAGCACAGCTGATGAAGAACTGGTTCTAAAGTCGGAGAGAAGGCAGATGGTGGCTTGGTATGAGGTGAGGGCTAAAACAGGTAGGTAGCTGGCAAGTAAGGGAGTGAGCAATGACTGAATTAGGGCTCATAAAACCTCATGATTAGACTCACACTGGCCACAGAATCTGTCAGTGATGTGAAATGAATGTGTCAAATGGTATCTAAGTAAGCATCACAGGCAGAAACATCCAAGATAAAGGGAGGCCAATGTAATACTTCAAAAGTAGATCAGCAACTAACATGACTGAAAGATGCGGGGCATTTGTTTCTAACATGTAGTTTATAAAAACCCATTCTCATGTGATACTACTAAAAGTATTTGAGGGTACGGTGCCATTTTTTTTGCCACGGCTGCCCTTTGATTGTATCACTGCCAATTTTGAGAGCACAACGGGATTGGTCTGTTTAAACATTGAGATGTAAAAGAAATCATTTAAAAGCATAGACTGAACTTTTGTCTGTAAATAGCCGGTCATTCCTTCATTACCTCGATGTAGATGTAGTGCTCGCTGTTCTCGATTGTGTGGATGTAGGCGTTCAGAATTGAGTTCTCACAGGTTCCAGTTGACCATCTATCGGCAGAGCGCAGCACCTGAGAAAATAGCATGTAAAAACTAAAAACACTCTCACTCTTTGGATACATTGTGTTTCACATATTTTTCAGAACTTCCAGAAGACAGATCTCACATCTTTGCTATTTCTACATTATCGTCCGCCAGCGTTGTTTTTCCCTAAGGTATGCACACTACAATCATGTCATAAGACATGTCTTCTTATTTTAACTTGGTGTCACCCAGTGAATTTAAAATATCCATGTGTTGGTGTATGAAGAATATGCTTCAGTTGATTTTCTGCATGTGAAAACTGAAACAGCTGCATTCATTTTTGTAGTGCTTTTGTAGTGTTTGTGATGCACTGAGCTTGAGCTTTTTGCATTCATTTCTGCTCAGTTTACAAAGATGGTTAGTTTGGGGGAATGCAGCTCCAACAAAACACTCACACACAAAGGGAGCAGACCTGTTGCAGCTCTAACACACTGCCCCTGAAACCTGAATAAAGGAGTAACAAGAGCTGGGGCAGAGAGGGGAGCAAGGGTTAGGGTTACAGGCCACTGCCCTCAACACAGTAAGAAAATACAGACAGAAAAAGCTATTGTTACCAAACACTCGCCATCGGGACACTTCAAAACCACAGCATATGATGCTGAGTGACAATACTTTTGCTGACAGTATGAAAATATTTATGATTGTGTGGGACTAAAATGATTTGTAAATGTGATATACACCATTTAACTTCTCTGTTTCTTCAACTTTGTTAGCTATAATGTCAGGTCTGTGTTTGTATGCTTGTTTTGCAATTATTCTGTCCTCTATTAGGACAAAAACTGATTAATGCAGCTTCACAAAGTTGCTACATGTAACATCTTTAGCATTATCTTGATATTTGATTGAAACAAAGACTGAAAGCCTCTGTCACATGGCAGTTGTGTTGCTAATGCCGGTGTTTTGGTTCTTATAATCTGGACCACAATTCCCATGAAGCCTGTTGCAAATAAGATACTTCCACTTGTCCTCCCTCCCTTCCTGTCCTTGGCAGAACATTTGTTTTCTCTGGCTTTACAGAACAGGATAAACATGTTGGAAGTGATTTTCTTCCACAGGCTCTACTCTTGTTCCACCATCTGCCACTGCAAACAACTCGGAATACTTTAGCTGCATTTCAAAAGCCAGAACAGTGTCTCTTTGTTGTACTGTAAATAAATCCATCTGATTTCCTGCTGGATCTGACTTTGTGTCACACAATGTACAATGCAGAGTGGAAGCCAGTAGTGGCCTTCAATGTCCTTGCCAATGGTCTTGTTTGTTAACAGTAATTAGTAATTTGACTAATTTCTCAACATTAATATGGAGATGATCAGCAGCATGGTTTCTTTTAAAAATGCTAAATGTGTGAATTTATTGACTTTGTTGACAAATGAGAATTTCCACACCCAATAAAAGGCTTATTCAAAGATCCCATAGGGACTTGTGGCCTGTGTCACACTAAAGTCTCTTTGCCACATGTTCAGTATATTAAGCCCAGTATAACTACTCTGGTGGTTTTCTGTGTTGTTATGGATGTAAAGGGGCCAGGGTTGATATTCTGTGCAGGACACTCTAGTTTCTGGCTTTGGTGTGAAGCTTATCTCTGCAAAGCTTGATTTATCTGGAATGCTAAGGTCTCATTAAAACAGTCTTTGTATAGGAGACTGGAGGCCGAAAAACACTGCATTACCCTGATAACTGAACCTGGCGACGTGACAAGTGTAGGGTAGTAGTGTTTCTTTTGCACTACTACATACCCACCCTTATTTGTGTTTCTTGATATTCTATTTTGTGCATGTGTTAATTAATTCATCAATATTTTAAAAATGAGATATGGCAACTTGATAAAATAATAAAACTGTATCTTGTCAAGGAGACAAACCGTGAGTTAGATTCATTCAAATTATCCATCATAAACTGATTATAAGATTCTTTTGTCAATTTCTCCCATTTTCCTGATGAAATCCCACACAACATTTTACACAGGTGTTGCACAAATACTGACTGCATTTGCGGTTAATGTGTGTGCATAAATACCTGTACTTTGGCTTTCTTGGACCCAGGCACCGTGAATGAGAGTGAGTCAGCAGTACACTGAGACTTGGGAAGAAGGTACGGGTAGAAGTCGTCCTTGTACTTGCTTTTGAAGATCTGGAGAAAATGAAACAAATTAATGAAAGCCAGATTTTTGCTCTTCCTGTTACTTTCGTTTCCTTCTGTTAGTCTAGACTTAATTAAAAGTTTATTTTACTAATTACTATCTGAGTCATACTTTCATATGTCAGCAGTATAACAGTAGAAATTATGGGAAATAGTGTTCAAAGGGCCACAGCAATACAAGTCTCAGCTGGATTTTTTTGCTCTATTTGATGATTTTAAGTAAATTTTGATTAACTTTTATTTTTACTTAGTTTACACCTTTAAATAACTGCTTCTTAATTGTTAGCTTCTGAAGCTTGTATATCTGTGGACTCATTTGTAAAAGCTGATTAAAGAAGATCACTAATGTCCCAATCTCTGAAATGAGATAAGGATGTTTACAACATTATGCTAACCTACAGATATGCAGGTCAAAACTATGACAATAAAACCCAGGTAGCTTTAAAATGACACAACGTTCCTTGAGTCAGACCTTGGTGAAGTTCCAGCGCTGGATGAAATGGCGGGCTACATCCCTGGCAGCTCTGCCATGAATAGCTGCAGACAGATCACGCCATGGCATGCGAGGAACTTGAGTGCGGTCGATGTTATCTGAACAAGAATGAAAAGCAGTCCTTTCACTTCCCTGTTGAGAGACTCTCTAAGAGTGTGTTTGCATGTGTGTGTGTGTGTGTGTGTGTGTGTGTGTGTGTGTGTGTGTGTGTGTGCGTGTGTGTGACTGAAGGAGATTGGGCAATGTACCTTCAAACGGTCTGTCCAGTTGGACCCAGTCTTTCCTGATAAAGTTGCTGTAGTCTTTGCCAAGCCACAGTTTAGTGTTGCCGGTCAGACCTTCAAGGTCTTGCTCTTCTTCCTTATCTGGTTCTGATGGTTTTGGACCATCAGCCACAGTATTATCCTGGTTAACAGAAACACCTGTTAGCATCTGGATGGAGTGTGAAATGTACTGGTTCATGAACTCCTGTCAACATATTTATGCTTGATTAGTCGCAATCAATAAGTTAGAAAGACATGCTCTTACTCCTGCTTCTCCATTTGGCTCCTCCTCAGTTAGACTGATGGACGTCCCTGTCAAACCCAGGTCAGTTAGCCGGTACTGGCTGTTATCCCACCTCCCAAATGCCAGGTCTATCCCCCCGACAAAGGCTACTGTTTGGTCAATAGCCACCATCTTTTCATGGTGAGCCCATAGGAACACCACAGATGACACGTGGTCAGGGTGTCGCATTACCTGATGGATGTAAAAGGGGAAAATTTGAACAAAACATGAGATGAGGCCTCTGGTAATTGTGAAGCCATTCTCTGTGTATCAAATTATGCAGAGGTGACAGACCTTGATGTTTGGGTGCATATTCATAAGAGTCCTCTTGCTGTGTTCACTATTGATGCCAAGTGCTAGCTCCACCTCTTTGTACAGCAGAACACACACTTTGACTCCTTGTTCCTGAAGGAAAAGGTTCAAACAGAGGTCACGCCATGTCAAAAAACAATCAGCAAAGGTAATGTGAAATTCTTAAAAAAAGAAGAACAAGACAAAGAGAATCCATACTGCTTTGCGCTTGAGTATCTCATCCAGGCGCCAGTAGTTATCAGTTGCTGGTCTCTTTAGGAAAACTTCAGGACTGAGCCTGAGACAAAAGACATGGAACACTTTCCATATATATTATTCACAACAAACAACATTTGAATAGTGAATTTACAGGGAACTTTTGTTTGTTTTCGCTAAATCCAGATCTTGCTGACACTTACCACCAATCTGTGATGAAGATTTCCTCCTTGGCTTGTTCGAGAGCATCAGCCAGGTCTGCAAAGTAGCTGCTTCCATTCACATACCTTCAAACAATATTAAAAAAAACCACAGCGTTTAACAAATTAGGACACGATTTGGAGACAGATAGTGAATCTAAAGGGTGACTACATATCTGACCATTTAGTGAGTGTATTCTCGCGTGGTGGTGCAAACCCCTCAAAGCGCTGCACTTTGAGAAAGTCGCTAGATTCTGCCAGCCGGTTGATTTCATGACTCCACCAATGAGCTTGTCTATAACTGCTGCATTTGATGATCAGACTCCTAAACAAAAACAAACAGGCAATTCGTGTGTCGTACACACAACAGAACCCCAGACTTATACTGTAATCATGAGTATATAGGCAAATACATATCTGACGTACCGAGTGAAGTTCTCAAAGCAGACTCCGTATTTCGTGTCTGTATAAGCACGGCCTACTTTAACTTTGAACTCAGGGTCAAAGAGCAACACAAAGTTGATGCAGCCGTTGTCTCGATTCATATACATCAGGAAGGAGTCTTTCACCACCAGCCACCGACGAGACCAGCGGAAACAGAACTGATGATGGCCAGTGCAATTCAGGCCTTGGATCCGGTGACCACCCGACCTCTTGAAGATGGGTCCCTCCCTGAGGAAAGTTGACAGATGTTGCACATTAAACCTCTATCATGAACTTCACCATCACTTCACCATTTTCCCTTGCATCTCACACACTCTCAAGATGTTTGCTTACAAGCCTTTGGGTCCAAGATCAGTGATGAAGGAGAGAGCACCAACAGAGAGGAATTCCAGCTGAAGAAAAGACAAGAGACAATGTAAACATGCTCCATGACATCCCCTTTGTATGTGTGCTATGTATGTTTGTGTTTCATTGCTATTACCATGCTGTGATCATTCCTACAGAATGTGTTCTCCAGCAGACCATTCAGGTATTCCTCAAGGTATTTCTGCAATAGAAAAGTAATAAACATTTTGAAATCCAACTTGACGCACAGCAGTCAGAGAGCGACAGTGGGATTTGCCTGAAACTGTATGAATTTTATTAAATTAAATAAAAAGCTTTATTTGTTGTGTAGAGAAGATCTGGAACAATATATATATGACATCTATGATATAATTTCAATTATCATTATTATTAGCAATACAATAATTGTTGGGTGTGACTTTAATGGAATATCTATGGTATTAAGTTTAGTATGTAAAAAAAGACATGAATGAACTGATCAGCCTGAATAGGAAGTCCAGCTCCAACCAACATGGCAAAAACATTTATATTACATTTACATTTACCCATCTGGTAGAAGCTTTTATCCAAAGCGACGTACAAGTGAGGGACAACACTAAAGCTTCGGTGCAGTAGGAGTAACATGAGCCCTTATCTTATTTGAAATAAAACACTTTTTAAAACCTTCCCACAATTCTAGATACATTGTGTGTGTGCATTCAAAGCAGTTTCTCAATGTGTATACACTGTGTATACTATACATGTGTCTGACTGGTTTGTTTGATACCATTTTGCTGGAGGTCCTTCTGGTCCGTTCAGTCCCATGCAGGTTGGGCATTTCCTCTGACATGGTTCTCAGCTGCTGCCTCTCCTTTGCAAATCTTCGAGAGAAATTTGAATATTCAAAATACTGTGAAAACACTGTGATTGAGAAATCTGGCACTAAATCCTCAATACAACCTATCACTCGGATTTCAATGGCACATCACTCAGAGTGAGAGGTTGATTTGCATGACCAGGATAAATAGATTGGTTGCACTGACCTTCCCAGAGGCAGCAAGTGAATCATCATCCTATGTTTGTAAAGGTCTCGATGCAGCTCTTGGAAGTGCTTGTACTTCCTCTTCACTGTCCAGTGGAATGGACCATGTGTTAACCGCACAGTGTACAGGGTGCCTACATGGACCTGGATGGACGAAATACATAAGCAGGATTATGTAAAATGATGAAAATAAAATACTGAAGAAAACAAAATGAGAGTACAGCATTTACTGAATTTGTAAATACCTTATTTACTTAAATTTTGACTTTCTTCCCTGGTGACAAAGAATAACAAATTACTTTTTGAATTTAACTTTTACTGCACACCCTCTTATTTGGACGTAAGTGTCAATTATAGTTGTCAAATGCACTATAAAACTTTATATGGTATGAACAGTACATCAAAGTTAAAACCAGAAAGTAGCTCTTCAAGATCTAATGGACATGTACAGTGAATAGTTTTGGTAACATAATATTAATTTTCTTCACATGCGTAAAATTTTGGATGCTGGGAGGAAAATCGGAGCATGACTGAACCAACCATATACAACTCAACTGTTACTAATACTTGTACTTTTTTAGTGAGTTACTTTGTACAAACTGCAACATGCTTCTGCAATGTACTTCTCTGGGTCCATACTGATTAATATACAATTATACCTCTTGTGCTATTTACTGTAAATACTGTGAAAATTCAATTGTGAATGTAGATGAGTCATAGCTCTAAAGTGGGCTCACAATTACCCAGATGTTTGTTGGCTGAGGTCCCTGATAGCACCAAGTGGCTCAGCTGTAAAGTCAGGCATCCCAGAAACACCCACTGCCTCAAACACTCTCAGCACTATACCCACCTGTTCAGTCCTAACATGGCATCTACACATAATGCAAAACCACTCACCGTATAATTTTCAAGCCTACCTCTCCACCTGAACAACAGTATGCTAATATAACAGCTGAGCCTTCTGCCTCAAAACACACAGCTCAAATTTCAAAGACCCACACAGAGGTTCAACAAAAACAAAACATAGGTGTAGCTGACTGTTAAGACTGGAAACAAACTGCCCATAAGTTTAGCAATAAAGTTTAGTTGGCGGTTTTGCCACTCTCTCAGACATAATGTCATTATGGTGAAGCGTCACGGTCAAATTTAACTTCAGGGTGTTTTCTGCCAAGCTTGAAAATAACATTGAAATCAGATGTTAAAAAGTGATCATGGGTTGGTCATAAGGTGGCCTACAGGAAGTTCAATAGTAGAAACCATTTTGAGAAGAATAGAAAGAAAGAGTGATTAATTGAAGTTAAACGTGTGTGCTTTGACTTTAAGCTCATCTAAAGCTTTCTATAAATACTATTATCCTTCGAACAACCACCAAAAGAAAAAATGTTAATGATTTTCCACCCAGAATAGAAAATGTACCTTTGAGCGAGTAGTGTACTTCTCTGTGTTGTCCACTTTGCATGTAATAGGGACACCAGGTATTAAGTAAGGTACACCCGTCTCCTTTATTTCAGGAAGATGATGAACCACCAGGAAAGGACGGCCCTCTGTGATTTGGAAGATTAGAACATTTTAATGAAATTCTTCTGGTACAGTCATTAGAGGTTTTCAATAGGCAGATTGTGCTTTAGGTTTAACATCTTACCACTGCTGGACATGAGGCCATCTAACTCATCTGGACTCAGATTGTAGAGGTCGTTGGAGAAGCGTCTTCTGCCCAGGTTTTGCGCTGTGAAGCTCTGAGCCACTGGCTCAATCACATCCTCTGTACTGGCCATCACACAGTTGCTGCAAGTGCCAGCGGCCCTGCTACAAAGACTAAAGAAAAGAGAGACCGACATTTACGGAGTTTGGGCACCACTAGTCGCACCACTATGCACACACAAAATGCACTAAACTAGCATGCCTGAGAAAACTTCTGATCAAACAAATGTGAAAGTGAGAACCAATCTTTTTAAACACACCACAGCAGGTTGAAAGTTAAAGTCACAAACTGGATGTTCACAGTATTTCTACAGCTCAACAAGTTAACTATTAAGTGATTCAGTATTGCACTAAAGGCAAAAGTGCATACTGCCTTTGATAGTACAGTTTATATTTCTTAAAGGAATTCTGAACTTTTGTGTATGATAGTGTAGATATAGTTCAGTGGGCTGTTGGCAACTTCCAATTCTATTTAGGCTACAGTTTATCTATATCTTTGTATATATGGTATATTTCAAAACTAGAAAAATTAGACGGCTGAAGTCATTCGAAAGGTACATCTCTTTGGCATTTTATTATGAGGAAATATATAAGCTGCATGCATAATACCAGTAGTGCTTGCAAAAGTAGCAGTGGAAGCAGCAGTGGCAGTGCATTAGCTATACTGTGTAGCAACAGCAACACTATTAACATAAGTGGTAGTTCTAGGGGCAGCAGCAGTACTAAAGGCAATAATGCAGTACCAGCATTTCTAGCATCAGCAGACACTGTCATCACACAAGAGTCAGATATAAAAACTCTGTGGAGATGAAGATTCTAAGTATCTGAAGAAGCTGATGAGCTATATTGAAATGATCTGACAATGCAAGCAGGAGGTGAATCTAATCGTCAAAGAGAGCAGCACATCATGATCACACAGAAGGAGACATTTGAGTAGAACTCAGAAGCACAGTCAACAACAGACTGTGTCATGTTAGAAGTATCACTGTTACAGTTTTTTTTCGATTGCATAAATACTAAAATCAAAAGTATTACACAATTATCAAAACCTTACACTCATGGAACAGATTTGCACCACTATAAGCACAATGTCAGCCTCACACTTTTTGCAAAACAATACACACAGTGATTTGTAAAACACTAAACACACTTGTATACGTTAGACACAGAAGTTTATCATGATGTCACTTCCTTGCAATTCCAAAGCACTGACTGTCAAATTACCACACCTATGAGCCAATTGGTTAAACACAGCCATCAGGTGCGCAAACCCATAATTGCTTAATTGTAAACACACCAATCAGGTTTAAGCACTATAAAAATGCAGCACATGAGTTCACCTGTCTTCAACCAAAATGGAAGGAGTCAGAAGAAGAAGAGTGAGGGTGAGAGGGGGAATCCATGGCGGAGGAGAAGGAGGTAGAGGAAGAGGAAGAGGCAGAGGCCGTGCCAGACGTAGAGGCCGAGGTGGAGGTAGAGGAAGAGGAAGACCTGAAGCAGGAGGAGAACGTGCTCAAAGAAGAAGAGGACCAAATTTATCAAATGAAATTCATGCAACACTAGTTGACCATGTTGTCCGTCATGCCAATAAGGGCCCTTACAACACACCTCGTATTCCCACATTTTTGTATCGATCGCACAACATCGTCACAGCAGTAAAACAAAAACACCAGATGCAATACATTGTCATCTGGGACAATGTGTCATTCTACTGCTCTGCTCTGGTCCAGAACTGGTTTCAACACCATCCACAGTTTACATTACTATACCTTCAACCATACTATCCATTTCTAAACCCAATCGAGGGGTTTTTCTCTGCATGGTGGTGGAGGGTTTACGATCTCCAGGCCCAGGCTCAGGTACCCCTCATTCAGGCCATGGAGGAGGCCTGTGACCAAATCTACGCTGCAGCTGTGCAAGGATGGATTCGACATTCAAGATGGTTCTTCCCATGTTGTCTTGCCAATGAGGATTCTCTGGCCAGATCCAGCTAGGTGAAGAGAAAATGTCTAGTATTTTCTGAACTGTATTGTACTGTCAGATTTTTTACTGTAATTGTAACCTGTGCTGGATACAGTATTTTATGTTTGTCTGATATTTGCTGAGCTTACAGTGTTATACACACTACTAGCATTAGTGCTACTAGTAGTAGCATGAAAACTGGGACATGTTTTGTTGTGATTCTCCATGTTGACATGTTGACTGATTTGGGTATATGGAGAGAAATGAATTATAGTTTCATCAGTCTGCAGCATTGGTTTTGTGTAGTGTTTGGTGAATTTATTGTATATTTGCACTTCCTCTGTGTACTTCACCTACAGTGCCCTAATCACTGAGAAGTATAATTGCTAAAAGTGTTTCAGGTTAAGCACAGCAGTGTGTAACTGGTTCAAACAGAATTAAGTCGTATGAAATGTGTGTTTCATATTGTAACAAAATATGGTTTTTATAAATTAGTGTATAGTTTTTACAAGAGTGTTTCATTTTGCAAAGGATCTGAGGTATTCTGATAATTGGGTGTGTGGTTGTTCTAATTGTCTGCAGTGTTTTGAAAAAACCAGGCCCTGTTTTCCAAATCGTGCTTAAGCAATCAAAAAAAAACTGTAAAATGACAAAAACAGAGAGCCTTCATATTCCGCAGGCATCTTGTGTTGTTTACCTGTTGATCGGGTGATCGACATTGCGAAATACAAGAAGTCTAGGACACAGCTGCCAGTGAGAGAGAAAAGGGTGTGTGTGAGTCCTTTTGTATGCTGTGTGGGTAGATGTCTTTGAATGGCTGAGAGTTTCCTGGGCAATGAAGGAACGGGGAGGGACCGTGTGTATGTTTGCTTGTGTGTGTGTGTGTGTGTGTGTGTGTTTGTGTGTGTGTGTGTGTGTGTGTGTGTGTGTGTGTGTGTTCATGTGTGTGTTTGTGTGTGGTCATGTGTGTGTTTGTGTGTGTGAAGGAGAGAGACGGTTTAAAATAAAAACAAGAATGAAATATCTAAGAGCCACACTGAAAAAAGAGTTAGCAGTAGATTAAAAATGGAAAAATATTAGTCTTCAATAATAATTTTGGATTCCATGAAAAATAAAAACTGTTACACCTGTTGTTGTCTATGAATTACTCACTGCCTTGTTGATACTCTACAGCATTGTTGCTGATCTTAACATGCCTTGTTCTTCTACTAACATCTACTGTTTTCTATGGTTTAGCACTACATGAACTAATGGCCAGGCAATTAAAAGTGCTCAATAAAGTACTTGCCACATTGCACCACTTAGACAATAAGAGAAAAAAAAGAATCACAAATACGTCAACCAACCACCACTTCACAGAGACTAAAACCTACGGTAATTTGAATATCTCAACATGTTAAACTAACTTCATGTTGCAGTCAAACAAACATCTGTCCACAGTGTTTTCTCATCTGCGCACTGCAGGCAAGAGAAACTACACAAGAGCCTGGCAAGGAACAAGCAGGTAAAGGCTGAGGTAATACTGAACATTGAGTGGGCACTCTACTAGCCAAAGGCTATTGGCACCATCTAAATACTTTAGGAGTGGCAATAAAAACAAAGGACATGTAATAAATGGCAGCAATAAAAAAATCATCAGTCAATCTGGAAATCATTCAGCTCATTAAAAATGTTTTTGGTGTTTAAAAAAAAAAGATAGAATCTTGTGATTTAGTTATAGCACCCTCTGGTGATCAGTTTCCTCCGAGCTAATTCATGATGTAGTGTTCACACAATCAGCACTTGAGTTTGAAAACATCAACAAAAAAAAAAAATTAAAACTATTATGATAGTATTAAAACCCAACATTACTTAGGAAATCAGCCCCCGCTACAGCACATCCCACTGGTTCTATAAACTATTACAAGCAATGAATAACACTACCAATGTTTTATTGCCGTTGTTTTTTAATTCTACACCAGTCACAAATGAGGAGATGCGCCAGACAAGAGAAGACAATTTAAGCTGAGATAACTGCCATCAACTCTGTCACAGGAGACAGATGATTCATTTATTAATACAATGCTCATATTTGAGGTCTGAAGTGTACACCCATAGCTATGGGTCACTGTTCTGTAAAATAAATACTGGTACTTAATAGGAATCTCTTCTGTATTCTAAATGTGTTGTTACCACAGTTATTTGCTTCATAAAAAATACTATATTTTTAGGTGTTTTCTCATGTATGTTATTTCAACTGCTGAACAACATTCCTTTGAGTTTCCATCATCTGGTGAAGAATTTAATTCATTCAAATTAAGACCACTCTTTGCCATATGTTGCTGTGATTACCATGAAAATAACAAGTTATATCTTAATTGCTATAAAACCCAAGTTCAAGCCATATCAAATTTGACATGTTCTCAGAGCTTTTTCTGCACTTTCTCCACCCATCCTTTTTTGTTGTTGTTGCTGTTTCCACTTATAATCCTAGATCTTTTTTAAACCATTCAACATGAGATCAAACCCTGTCATTTAAATTCACATCCAGCTTGTTGAGATAGATGTTGGCAAAACAACAGTTTGCCAAATAAGCTCTTTGCTCCGTTGACTTTCTGTTGACTTTCTGACTATTCAGTCTTAACAGTCACATGAAAAGCTAGCTCATACTTGCCACTAAGCATTTTTTACTTGATGGAGTGAATCTTTGTCTACACTATTCACCCAGGTTTCTTACTTGTGAAATACTACACCACACCCACTCAGGGTGCTCTAAATCATGAGCCAGATTAATGATTGGCCAGAAAGTGGTGCTAATGAAACCTGCATCTTACAAAACCAAGCAGTCATGTGAGCATCAATATTTGTGCGTGTGTACAGTATCAATGGTTCTTGTCCCATAAAACCTTTTGAATTCTGTGCAGTCCAACATCTCAAAAAAGCAACACTGCATCAGTTACCAGGAAATATTGTCAAGGGCATGAGAGATTTAAAGGTCCCACATGTACTTGGAGATTTCTTGCCTAAATGACTCCCAGTGGTTGCATTAAAAAAGCCACCTGGCTGACACAAGGCAAATGCAGATGGAAACATTTAGTAAGACGGGGACACTGCCAATGATCAAGCAACACAGACTGCAACAATCACAGGGATTGCCTCATTTTTCTACAGAGAAAAACAATCCAGAATAATTACTAAAGTTGCTATATACATGAAAACACATACATTTACATTTAGAAAGAGCAACTTGACACTAGCTGACATTTTTTTCTACTGATTATGAAATCCTCAACTTGCTGCTATGATGTTACGGTGTACTCAGGGCGTGGTCAATACACACTGATATCACTGCTGGGTGTGTTTACAGGTGAAACAGAGCACCCCCATGGAACAGACTTAAAACTTTAAAGAGAGGACGTCAGTCAAACAAGGCTATTCAGCTCGGTAAAGTTACTCTTTAAAGAAACCCTGTTGTATAGGGGATTATATTCCCACGTGTCAAACCATCACAAAAATGGCTCATATTATTCTGCATTTATTTTAAGTTATCATGACTAGATCTTGAACATTGATTAATTGAACTGCTTTAAGTTCATCATGTTCCTAAATTTTAAATGTAATTACACCTGAAGCTTAGCAAATTCCTTGCCAAAAAGGGCACAAGGGTACATGCAGAGCAATATTGATTTATACATGCTATTTTCAATAAACACACATGTTTATATTCCCTGGTCTAGGGGAAAGTTATGTGTTTCATATACATTTGCATGATTTGCCTGATGTTTCAGAAACAACATGCGACCTTTAAGGACAGACTGAGCAAAATGTATTTCCCCAGACTATGACACGTGCAATCAAACGACAGGGTCTGGATATTTGTCATTATTTCCTCCCTGACTAAAACAACAGTGCTGAGTCAACGCTTGCCTTCATTGGCCCCCATCGGATGTACCCAAAACTCCACAATGTCGTCTAAAATAGCGACACTTCCTGACTGAGTCAACGTGTCACCACTTATTATTTCTTTTTCACATTTTCTATACGCACAGGAGTCACAATCTTTGTTGCGTGTTTTAAGATATAGTTTGGAAGAGGAAACACGCACCTTAAGCCTTTGATTTGAGGGCTGATGGGAATTTGGATATGGTGTAGCCTATGCTGTGCTGCTACCGCTCCATCAATTTTCTTAAACGTACACCCCATTCTGTATGAGCCACTTTCTTACACCACCAAGGCAACATTGCTAACAGCCGTAAAGTCCATTCAACACTCCGAATACCAAGGTTACGCTGTCTGTGGAGTGTGAAACTACCGAGAGCTAAATTTTGTCGTCTCCACCCATTCCCTATGGTTTCCTACAGCGCCGCATTCCACAAAGAAACTACACTAAATGTACAAAACTACGCAGCAAATGTCACCTGACGCAGAGTGGCACTGGTATTAACACATCGTCACATCATCACAGCAACTAGGTTTTTGTTTGCAAGCCACTGTGGTGAGATTTCTGCATCTGGAGCAGGATTCAATCGGCAAAGCTGCGATCGCCCAAACGAGAGGAGTGAAATATGCGTCCAACTCGGGCCTAGAAAAAGATACTTACTTTCACTTCAAATGCAACCACGGCTCAGCACACGCAGGTATTCCACATGCGAGACAAAAAAGTGAACATACATTCAGGCTAAATACACTTTTTCATCGTATTCCGGCATATGTTTTAAAAGAGAGTCCGTGTATTCCCCGTAGGTGATGTACACTTTAGTCCCTCCCATTGGCTATCCAGCAGGACAGATGAGGAGGAAAGAAACGATCCTGAACTGAGGTTCTGCCAAACAATGTTCTTATAGTCTTTTAAGCAGGAACTGCAGATATACTCTGGGGGTATATAGTATGTCAATTTAACCAAACAACGTGGTGGTTTCCTGTGTAGCTGTGCAGAAAGCAGACAAACTGGCACTGGACTGAGAGCTGTGCCGCTGCAACGTGAGACAAAACATGGACATGAGGGACAGGACAAGTCGTGACTGGGTCTCATCAGGATAAACACACACAGGAATGTGAGGATGGAGAGGAGAGGCGCGGTAATAACTCTACCATGATACCTTATTTTACCTTTCAACGTTAATTATGGAAAATACCGCCACATTTCCGGTTAGTATTTTCAACATGAAAGCCATTTAGCATGGATTTTTTTTTTCTTAACACAAATTTGACCTCTTTTTGGAGCAGGCTTGTATTTTATTTTCAACGACACAGATATCAGAAGCTTTTGATGTTATGAAATTACATACACTAGAAGTGTATCCAGAGTTAGGTTAAGCCTATAGTCTTTAAAAGAAAATGTCAACTTTAATGTGTGGGACTGTACTCTTACTAAACTGGATTATTCATTTAACGACTGCAACAGTTGTATTTAAACGACATGGGACAGGAGGAGCAGACTGATGACTGCTCTGTGAAGGATGTGATGACACATGCAAACTGGCCTAAATCTGGATAGTGATTTTTGATTTGCATGTCACTAGGCAGTATATTTCCAACCACACCCTTATCTGAACTGAAATGATATATACAGTTTTAGTTTTTGGTGCACTGCCCACAACACAGTTAAAGCTTCAGACAATCAGACCTTTATTTTGCATCATTAACTGGTGCACAGGTCCCCAGAAAATAGAGTAATAATATGTCAGTTCTTTGTTGGTATTTGGGGCTGCTTATTTGATTGAATATTATACTTGCTGTACCTAAATGGGTCAATGTTGGCTAATTATCCTGTGTTTCTGTTTCTGTTACCACTTCATGTTCATTTTTTGTACCAGTGCCCATCTTACATACTGCATGCCCAAAAGAGGAGGGTACTTCCCCCAAGGCTTCTCATATCTTTCCCCCTATCTGGCTTACATTTGTTTTCCTCTTAATGAGCTTGTGGGTCTATAAGCACAATGACATCTGTTGCACATTGGGACTTTTTGAAAGGAAAGTTTTGACATGTAAGGGAGGTGGACTAGTAAAATAAACAACAATCATACAAGATATAAGTAAAAACTAAACAATAAGATGACAGTTTAGGACAATTATGAATGATCAATTATGAAACAGTGCAAATGTTGTCCTGGGGGTGGCACTGTTGATGGGAAATAAGTCCTGTCTGTTTTGGTGTAGTACAGTTTCACACCACATGGTGGCGTTCAGCCATGCTTAAAGGAAAAAGTCTAATAGGGATTTAAAAATACTTTACAGTAGTACATCACCAAGACTGAGCAAGGTTAATTCCAGAATAAATCCAAATTTTGAGTGACAAAATGATCTTTGTGTTTTATAACACTGAGAAAGAAAAATACATTTATTGTGCAACTATTGGATACATGTAAAATAAAAATAATGTAACCTCATTACAAATCCAAATGCTGTGTTGATGCCTGTTTTTCACATGAACAAACTGTACACAGCACTTCTCATATAATATCTCTGTCAAATGCCCACTTATGTAACGTTGAACACAACTAGACATAAACAGAAAATTATAAACTTGAAAATTAAGATGTGTAAGTGATTAAACACATTGGATAGGAATTGGGTATTTTATCATGACTTTTTATGAGCTTTTCTATTACTCTTTCTGTCAGGTTCTTATTACACTGTTTGACATTTTGAGGAGCTTTAGGTGTATTTACATTCCCAACTGAGCATATGTAAGTTTAGATGGACAAAAACACAGCATATACTTTACTTCCCCATTTGAGACCATAACAAGCTATGTAATAATAGCCAGGGATTTAAACAAAGACCTTACTGACCTTGTGCAGGTAGGAAGTTGGCTGATACGACCAGTGCAGAGATGAAAGAGCACGGCAGGATGATATTAAAAATGTAGAACAGGGGCTTCCTTTGGATGATCAGCTTGAACGTGACTGCCTGATATCCAGGTCACCTGAGGAATCCCATGTGCTGATCATCTTCCTGGCTGGATGATGGACGATGGCCTACTCATTATTCTCTGAGCAGTGAAAATGTAATAAGCTGGAGAGGAATTGTGTGTTTTGAGTACTGGAGTATTGAAAGTGGATGTCCTGTACTTGTATGTAGCCTTACCAGTAGATAGACAAACAGCCCTGAAGGATAGTAAACACACAAAGTGTATTTACCCCTAATACTGCTGTGTTCACAAAATACGTTTATCTAATCTTTCCTTTGGAACATTTCTGAGATAGCCCAGTCAAAGCCTACATGTACAGCTACCATGAAATTCAATTCAAAATTAAAATGAACTTTTCTAAATGTTTGTGTCATGTGGGTTTTTTCGCAGAACACACAGTTTGTAATAAATTGATTAAATAAGTCATGGTGCACAAAATAAAATATTTATTTAAAAAACATGGCACAATGATATCAAGACAATATCCCTCTGAGCCATCTACCTCTAACAAGACTTTCTAATAAATAAGTCATAGTAGGAAGAATAAGGCTTTGATTCAGAGCCGGCTGGCTCAAGTTACATGCACATGTTCTTCATATAGGACACAGTACATGCAGGAAAACTTATCCAGGCTTGACTAGATATGTTTTAGAGTGTAGTGCATAGATGATTCTTGTAAGGCCATGAAAGATGGGTAAGAAACCTTCTTTACTGCTGTTTATGAGTACAGTTCTACACAGTGCCTTTGGCTCCATTGAATACATAACAATGCTGCAGTAAATGTGGTTGTGAATCGATTTCAGCATTTTCCTAAACTACACCTGTGACCTGAAGTGTGAACTTGCTTGAACTCACAACACTGAGTCTTTTATAATGCAAAAGAGACAAATAACAATTGTACTTGATATGTTTCTCATGACGATGATGATGATTGTGATGCTGCTGCTGCTGATGATTTAAAACATCACTTTTTAACTGGACTTGATTCGTCCTTTTAATGCAAACAAAGAACTTACACTAAGATGAAGAACTTTAATATTTGAAGACAGACAGATTTGGTGTTAAACATCTGTTATTAAAGCCTTCCTGCTCAGACTTAACTCTCAATCAAGTCGATGAGCAAGACTGCTTAGCATTACAGACAGCATGAGGTACAGCAACCCTTGGAAAAGTCTCAACAGAGCAAAAGGATTTTTTTTTCTCTTAACTACTGATAAATTTTTTGTTCTGGCCAGGAAATGGAAATTCTGGCACCTGGTTGAAGTGTCCTGTGAGGAAGATCCCCACTGTGCCGATGATGAAGAGGAGTATGGCAGCCCAGAAACACACCTTGTCAATCATCTTCCCAATCAGCACCCAGCTTTCAATTTCCTTTATTTGGAAAGGGAGTGAATAGAGGTTAAATAATGAAAATACCAGTTAGCCTAAAAGACATATGAAACAGAAAATATGTAACCAATATACTCATCCAAAACGTCATGTTGATTATAAAGTTTACAGTAACACTCACAGATCCAATGTTATTCTGCTGTCTTGTACTCTCAGCAATGAAATTGCAGGCATCCACACATTGCTTGATCTCAGGTGCAGCTTGGGCCAAACTCTTGTACAGGTTGGCTGTGCTGCTGACATCTATATTATCCACTGGGGGGTAAGGAGACACCGACATTTAGACAACAGTATACTGCGGCATTTCCAGAGGCAGACACTGGTATCTTTGATGGTGACAAGGCAAAAAAATGTGTTAAACTATACACAACTAGCCTGTAATACACAAATAAGTAAGGGATACCCACACAAAACAACATCTGCATCATGATGTTTATACAAAAATTAATATGTCTCTACTAATCATTCGTGTAGTACAAAACTTCTAACAAAGTCACAATAAATTCCATTGAAGCACACCTTGTGGGCATTTACATTTTGTGGTGGCAGGGAAATAACTATTTCTATGAAATATTCATGCAAGTATTTGAGCTGGAATGGGTGACAAACATTGTTGTGCAGGCTCATAGTTTTAGAAATGGACATCCTACCAATCGATCGTGTGAGACCATGCCTCTCTCTTTGTTTGTCAAACATCATTTCACTGCGAGGTTGCTTCATTACATATTCCTCAGCTCTCTGCATGAGGCCGAAGGAGCTGCGGCGCCGCTCCCGCATTCCGTTTACCTCTGTTGTCACCTCACTGTCATCCACCAGTGGGGACATGCCCAGGAAGCGAGGTACCATCTCTAGGAACAGCTGCGGGAGACACAAAAGATAACAGTAATTGTCACATTAAAAAACAACAAACTCTTGAATAGTAAAAGTTGACTCAGCTGGAAAGGACGTACTTACATGTTTGATGGTATGGGACATGGTATGAGTGCTGGGGCTGCGCAGGGAGAAGTTCAGCACCACAATTTGATTAGTAGCAATGAGAGTAGTGACACACATGACAAAGATCAGGTACCTGAGGAAAAAATTAGACAAGATCTGTGTTGGAGAGGGGAATCAAACTTTATGGATTAAAAGAAGAAAAAAAAGAAAAGCAGCAGAGATCTGCAGAGGTCATCAGAGAACACACACTGACTCACTTGCCGATGAGAGGGACAGAGAGAGATGTCTCAGGGACTTTCTGAGCAATAAGAAAGAGGAAAACAGTCTGAGCCAGCAAGACAGAGATGGACACAGTCAACTTCTGTCCCCCAGCTGTAAAGGGGACAACAGAGACTTAGGAGACAGTAGACACACTGATTTAAAAAAATTAAAAAAAATCATACCAGCTGTGGCACCAAATACTCTGAGTATATTTTATGTGCTCAGGCACTATATATATATATATATATATATATATGTAGAAACGCAGCAGCAGCAACATAGCATAATATAATAACATCTGACTTCACTTATAGATTTTGCTAAGACTTTTTCTGAATGAATGTATTTAATTTTAGTTTTGAAATAGATCCTAGAGCCTCTTGAAGTGAGCTCCATTTTAATGCTTGTATAACAAAGCCAATAAAATGGCCACTTTTAAATTTTGGTCCTTTTTTTAAGGCCAGTATAAGAGTAACTAATATAAATGATTGTTTTGTTCTATGTGACATGATATGAGACTTGGTGTTTTAAAACAGCCTTGTGATATTGACCCATTTGAAACCATAGACATCTACTGCACTTAATAACAGCCACAGGGATTTAGACAATGGCCTTGCTGACCTTGTGCAGGTAGGAAGTAGGCCAATACGACCAGTGAGGAGATGAGTGAGCACGGCAGGATGATATTAATGATGTAGAACAGGGGCTTCCTTTGGATGATCAGATTGAAAATGATCTCCTGATACTCCAGGTCATCTGGGGTATACCGTTTGTTGATCATCTTCCTGGCTGGACGATGGACGATGGCCCACTCACCATTCTCTGAACAGTGAAAACATAATAAGCTGGAGAGGAACTGTGTGTTTTGAATTTTGGAATATTGAGTGTGGATGTCCTGTACCTGTGAAAGCCTCTGGGTCGATGTCCACCCATTCAATAGTCTTTTCTGTTTCGTCAAAAGCCAAGATAAGGTCAACCTCATTGGCACTGTATGTCTGGGATCTAGGGTTGTGGCAGTGAGGGTAGAGTAAAATAGAAACAAATGGATAAAATGCAATACATATAGTATATTTATTTAATGATAATATAACTGTACCACACCTGAATGCTAGTGTGCAGTTTTGATAATCGAATGGGAAGTAGGTGATCTCGATGGCACAAGTGCTGCGATAGATAGCAGGAGGTAGCCAGTACATCCAACCAGTGTTGTCGATCAACACATTGGCATAGTAGGCCACATCAAACTTTCCATCAATGCTGCAGAGAATGAGGAGAACAGAAAGAAGTGGCACCAGACTTTATACCCAAACAACCAACAAATAGTATAATGACACTGTAGGTGGGGGAAAATTTTTTGTTTCTGCCTTACTTGTTCTCAAGGACAATGTCAGGAAGCCAAACAGTGTTGCATGGGACACGAATAACATTTATGCCATAATACTCAGACGAGTTCCAAGCAAGGCGATAATCACTCCATTGCTGTAGATGACATTTGAGAGAAAGGTCACCAGTGCCATTAAAAATGAAACACAACAGACGGCTGAATAAGTGAGGAGTAATGTATGCAAAATGAGCCCTTCAACCAAAAGTCTTTCCATGATTTTTTACAAACAAACAAACAAAAAAAATCATACAGTGTGAAGAGAGGGAAAACTCACAATCTCAATCCACACGTTGGTTGTAAGAGTCTCCTCCTTTTCATTCTGTGGTATAAATGAAGATATACAATGAGTTTTTGAGATATCTGTGTTTATCATACAGTGCCACCTTACCTTCGTGACCTAACAGGCATGAGCCATGTGCTCACATCTAAAACCCTGAATGAAAATAAATCCTATTGTCCTCTGGGAATCATGGTGAACCTGTGGTTTTGCTCCTTTTTGAAAATCTATTGTATTTGCTGTATAGAATTGTTGTAATCCCTTGCAGCCATTGGTAAATACTGCTAATGTTAATGTGCTGCCAGGCTTTGTTACAACAAGTAGGAAGAGCAAGCTCTCACCAGAGAGATTAGGTTAGTGAGGGTCAGCTTGATCTGAACGTCCATCTTGTCTTCAGGATGAACAACAGGACGAATATTCTTGTTGTAGTCTTTGAACAAGTCTCTGATCAGCTCTGACTCCTCATTACACTGCACTGCATGAAGAAAAAGATGAGAAATTGAGTGAGTTTATATACATATGTGTTATGGTTGATTAATATTTCATGAGGGGAGGGGGATAAACATCTGAACTATAGCAAACTATGTGCAAACATGTGGTTAATATACTTTTTTTTAAAAATAAACTCAGCTGGATAATGCTGTGTTGCTAACATTAGTTGTCTTATAAATAAAAACACATCCTTGCTCAGGGGGTTGCTGGTCTGTTATAAACATTAGCTTATTGTTGCTATTGTTAGCTAATATTATATTAGCTATAGCTATCGCTAACCTTTAGGTAGATATTTGCTGTAC